AGCAACTCCAACCTTAATATCAAATGCTGTACTACTGTAGGATCACAAATAAAGAACCTAACTAATATGTTATCCCTAATCAGTACTTAATCATTGAAAAGGTGAAAGATACAGGGCTAATAGTATTAAGGTTAAGAACATAAATAATGAATTATCAATGAATAACTTATTAACATAAAAATCAACATGTGTACATTGCTACATACATGTATGTAGAACATGTACATGTATACTATACTTCACTGATCCAGAAAGAGAAAATAAGAAATTAAATGTACTTCAATGTACAAATGCTTTACATTACTAACTACTCCTTACATAACGAAATGGAAACAGTTACGTGAGCGTACATATACTTAACAGCATGTGTTATGCTGGCCATAATGTTTCACAGACATGTTAAGACAAAACTGTTAAAATTCGGGGGGGGGGTGTGAACACAAACCTCATCGAAAAGGGAAAAAAGCCAAAAGCCTGTGCTTTTGTGCAAAGGACAACTGCATGTGAACATATAGATGAGAACCTAATAAACAGCGATCATTATTTGCACTTTACATCTCAATAGATGTCAGATCTACATGTAGAACTCAGCCTTGAGGTTACAAGTCCACTGAAAAGAATCTGAAAAGTGAAATGAACCTCACAATATAGAAAACAATTCCAAAGTGAGGCCAGGTTGCCCATATGCACTTTCCTTCAAATATTTGCAATCAAAGTGACGTCTATATGTACGTACATGTATATGTATAGTGTACACGTCTTTCTAAGCAAATGCCTACTGTACATGCAAGTTTTATGCACACATGTCTAAAATGCATTCAAGAGATCCTACAGTGGGTGGCCTGGCCTGAAGACTTTTCTTCTAGAATGTGACAACATTCTTTTGCATTTAAGAGAGCCCTTGTAACCCAATAAATCCGCTAGCTCCATGGTATGTGATACATGTACCTTTGGCTACATGTAGTGATGCAAGTGGGTTCATGTATAGTATACTGTATTTTGAATAGTGATTTACATGTATTTAGTCTGGAAATGAAACAATTTGAAGATTTTAGAAAGACGTACAGCCAAGAATCTACTGGGAATAGTTACGAGGGATATGTCGGCAGTTTTATGGGCTGAGAGGAAATCCCAGACAATGTCTGGACAGAAAAATGCGTGTTAAGAGGTGGGAACAGTAAATCAAATCCAAATGTGTACAGCCACGAGCAGACTCTGAGATGAATAGACATGACAGGTAATTGCTGTACGTGTACCTGCATGGGTGTGAGCGGAAAGTCTATGCTCTGACAAGATACAGTAAGAGATGTGATGTAAGAACTAAGGCCACAGGAGGAGGGAAGAGAAATTGAGAGTACATAAGCATGGCCAAATCCCCATAAACTGTTGGCCCTGCATCTGAGTTGTAATGTAATGCAACACAACAGTATGATGAACTCACCCATCTTATCAAAGTATGCAGCCTAGTTCCCCGAAGTACAACCGTTACTCTTCCTTTAAAGTTTATTAGGAACTGAAACAGCAATCTGTAATACTATCATCTTTTGAGGTTTACCGCAAAGACTAACAGGTTGACTTCTGAGTCTGTAAACCGCAGATGTCTTTTGTACATGTACATGTAACACGTGCATGTATGTCACATATGTACATGTACCGGTACACAATTACTACCCTGAACACAGCTCAGATTTCAGATTCATAAATTCACCTGCGACCACTACCGGGATGTGACAAGGAATTGGACTTACAATGGTAAGGATTCACAGGTGTTTGAAATTTCTTTGTTATTGTACATTTCTTGCATAGCGATTTCCATCCACTCCCTCTGCTTTATTCGAGGCACCATTTTCAGTGAGTATCAACACTAAGGTGTACAACTCTCACATCGACCATGGAACTGTACTAAAACTTTCTCTTCATAATGTTTCTGTACTGTACATGTTTAAATGGTACTGACACATTGAACATCCAGATTGGCACATTTCAAATCAGAGTGCAAACAGTAAGTTGGCTCACTTTGCTCATGTGAGTAGGCTGCCCATCCCTGTGTCTTCAAAACTTTCTGCACATGCTGAAGAGTTCCCTAGCTGAGTGGCTGTCAAACTCCCATCACTGACGGGGTGATCAGGGGATCTACGTACCAGCATCTTTCAAGAACACTTTCAACACACATCATGTACAAAGTACTATACAACATGGGTTTCTCTCTTCAATCTGCAACATATCAATTTTTCTCTCCATGATTTACACGCACCACAGCTAGTAAACACCATCTCCTTCCCCTCTGGTGCCTCCAAGTCCCCTTCCTACCCAAGCAAACAACTCATGGAATACCATTCATGATGTCAGGAAAACAAAATGACTAAGCGCTGATTTATTTCCCTTAGCAGCCTTAAGCAAATCTCATGTTTTCTCAAACTAAGGAAGTAGAAACCATAAGCATGGTGTGTAGGTCTTCATGTACATGTACATACATACATACATGTGCATATATCCAGTCAAGGATCTCATAATTGCAACTTGCTTGTATCTTGGAAATGCAAACTTATCTTCATACAATTTTATAAGTGTTAATTGGTACCCGGTAGGTGTAATTGCAATTAAGAGCAATTGTGTGATAGACAATTTATGCACTTGACAGGCACACACGTACATGTACATTTTTCAAACTTGCTTACTTCATCTGGTCCAGCTACAGCATACTTTGTAAATAATATTTGAGGAAACGCACTTGTGCAAAAGGAAGCATTCTCACTGAACAGTTCCTTGCTTTTAATAAGTCAAGGTCTACTGGTTGCAGAGTTGATAATTTTTCAATTTGGCGATAAACTGTTTCAGCCAAGAACTCCAAGGGCACTGCAGAAGTGTTAATTTGTTTGACATCAAACCACAAATGTGTAGGCTGATCAGTGACCAACAGCTGTGGGTTCTGGCACTTTTGTCTTATCAAAACGGTGCATTTATGTGATAACTGATTGCTCCGACCTGGCAACGAACTTAAAGAGGGACACGCTTGAATCCTGTGGGAGAGGAAGAGATTTTTCTTAACAATATCCGAAAGACGTGCAAAAAAAAAAAAAAAGGCAGATGGGATTTCAATTGCTGAGGAATATGATTTGTATAAATTGCTCCAATAAATCACTCATCGAATATCTGTAGTTTTTACTTACAAGTCACAAGCACCGGGGACAACATGGGGTGGATTGTAAAAAGTTTGATTTTTAAAATGCTTACAGTACATGTGTGGTCCGATTTTACAAAATGAGCCTTAAGGGCATAGAAGTTTGATAGTTTCTTGTATTGGACGGAGCACATGGTGATCCTTGGAAGTACTGGTAGTCAGTTTGGCATCATGATGAGAAGAAACACTACCAGTACATGAACATTTATGTGGATGAAAAGGTTGCCAGTACAAAGGCCCACTTGAAAACTGTACTGGTAGTGACTTAAGCCTCATTTTGTTGGGTTAGGTCACACATGGCATGGTCTACAGTATATCATGCGACATGTAGAACTTGTTGGCTACTTTCTGCTTGTCACTTGAAAGTTGATTATCGGTAGGTCTGCTGAGGGAGTAATGATGACCGAAACAAACTCATGAAACAAGAACTAATTCATTCCTATTGACACAGAGTCAACATCACTGAGATTGAGAATGAGATTATCAACGACTTTGAAAGCAAAATGCTGAATATCAAATGTGTAGCTATTACGTGTGTATGGCATTAAGCTTTCAATGGTTGTGTAAACACTAACAGCACAATTTAGAGAGGGGGTCCTCTTTGAATATCAAGGGTGCGCTTACAGAGACCTCCATGAAGAAAAAAGTAACTGGCAGTCTCTTGAAAAACCTTGCCAAAGCACAATACTGGAACAGATTTTGTTAGTATAACAAGACCTGTTGAGGTTTCGGTGGGTATCACTTCATAAGTGTGACCTACCACAACAAACAAGCTTGAAGTCACACTCTGCTGTGTTCTATTAAACTGTGGTTCTATGTAGAAAATGGAAGGGGGTTGATTTAGGGGTTTTGTAATATTTGGAAAGTGTAAACCCTGTTCTAATCACAAAATTTTTAGTGCGGACGTTTTGTTTTTGACCGATTTTGACATAAGCATTATTTGTGTCTGGTCTGAAAGGTTGAAACAACATTGACGGCAAGGACACAAAGCTGCCAGACTTCTTGTGTTACTTTAAGCAAATGCTTTTACCCTAAGTGTTATTTGCCATCGGAAACCTCTTTTCTGTTCAATTTGAAAACTGCCAATATCTCAGTTAACAGGAATTCTGATTTTTTAGTTCAGTTGTGACTGGGTACAATTGGAGGTATGCATGTGCTTCAGTTGAACTCTTCAACTACATGTATATCTCCTTTACACTTTTGCTTGGCAACACTTGCACTGGTTGGTAAGCAGCAAATCACAGAAAGAAAAGGACAGGGTCAGGGGCTTAAAGAGCGCATTTTCTTGGGGGGGGGTGTGCAAGAGTCAATTTGCCGACTTGTAACTTGTTTGTCAACCTTGTGTCATGTAAAATGTATGTATGTATGGAAATTATCCGTATTATGCTACATTTCATGCTTCAAGGGAAATGCTGACAGCCAACCTTTATCACTTATGCACCAATTTTGAATAGATTTGCCAACCGAAGCTCTATTTGCCCACTGGAATTAATTACTGGGGGGTGGCGCATCCCCCCACCCTGGTCAATACGCCCCTGGACAGGATGTAACTCCCACTTTCTTACCCCCCTTGATTATTCTCATACAACATTTTACAGTGATGCCACAATTTCAAATACCTTACAATCAAAATTTGCCCTTTACAACTAGACGTACAGTAAGAGCGATATTAACACATCATGATGAACACCCACCTGCCTTTGCCCTTATGCGCTGACTGTTACACAGGAGTGCCCACCATATTAAGCATTGATTTCAATTGATTTATGAACGATGATATTTCAATTTGCTGTGGATCCCTGCCAAACTTGGAACTTACTAAGTCTGTTGTTGCTCACATTTAGGCTCTTCAGTGCATCAAACTGGCCGATTAGCAGAGGCAGGGCTGGAATCTTGTTGCTGGATAAATCCAGTGTGCGTAGGTTCTTGATCAACCTTTGCAGATCAGGGGGAAACTGAAAGATGAAGACAAGAAGAAGAGGGAGAAATATAAGGATGACTGAACATTCAAAGAAAAATTTTTTTACCTAACTGAGTTCCGCATTGAAAAATATTTTGTACCAACATCCTTTCCTGACAATATGATGAAACTTCTGAGAAATCGTTTTGGTTTAAATTTTTCAAACACTATTTCAAGGATGACATTTAAGAATTCTATTACACAGGCCTTTTAACGACACAAGGCCTTAACCCCTGCCCCAGATAAATCTTTAAAAAACCTTGCATGACCCTGCTGGTAAGAAAGTATTCTATGCTTTTTGGAGGCAGGCAGGAAGGCAATGAAGTGCACTTTCATTTTCACATCCCTCCTCACTTCTCCTCTTTACACGACTTGGTGAAACCAGACATTATTACCTAACAGAAAATAACCCTGACGTCAAATCCACCTCAACCTGTTGACTGGCAAAGTTGAAAGTATTTCCTGGATAATCTGAGATCTTGCGTGATGTGAGAAGTTCACTGATAAGATCATGGGAAAGAGACTGAAAGAAAAAATCTGATATGGTATTGATGATAACCAACTTTAATTTGATAGTTTTCCTGTATTCATTTGAGATGATGCGAGAAGACCGATATCGAGACCACAGGGGAGTGGAGATCATCTCTAATGGGAAATTAACTTCACTTGCATCATCCGCTCCTCCCTTCCCTCTGCATCTTACACTTCTGTAGAAATAATGGAATGCATCTGCACCAAATCACTCATAACTTGGTGATGGAGAAAGCTGGCTGCATATGTATATGTGACACTGTGTACATGTAATTTCACATTTGTGATTGGACCAGGAGAGGGTTGCGGTGCGTGTGTGGGTCAAGAATCTATGCAGGGGGAGGCAATTCTGTGTATCTTCTACACATGGAGCCTCAAACTGCAAACTCAAACTGAAGATGTAGCAAAGGAAAGAGAGGGTACCTCCCTGTAACCGTAGCTACCTTTTGAGTGATAATTCCCTGTGAACATTAAATGAACCTGTTGTTTCTAATGTTGTTTCTTTCCTTGGTATTCTGCTAACATGTAAATCTGTGAAGGGGGCTGTGTTGTTAAAAAATTCACAGAATGCCATTTGCGGATGGAGCTTAATAAATGCCAATCAATGCTGGGTTGACATTCTACTTTTTCAACAACTATAATCTGCCATCGCTAGAGGGCGTCTGCGTGCAAAAGGTGAGACATCCAGGCATCACTCAGCAGCAACTCAACAGCGGAGGTGGTTTCATCACAGACTAGTCAGTGGTTTCACCCCTGAATGGTCACTTCCAGGCACTGGCCAAAACTTGGACTGAGACTTTGCGGTTGTGCTAAATTATAAGGTTCCCATCCAGAGCTCACCAGCTTATTTTGGCGACTCTCTTGCAGACAACAATCAAAAAAGCAAACAATATTGGAAAAACATTTCTCTGAAATAACCTAAAACAAAATAAGGTGATAATTAGGCAGATTTTCCAAGGTGTCACATGTGATTTGTATCATGACAAGTGAAGAGAACACCCTGTCAATGGGGTACTAGAGAGGTGTGGGTTTTGTGGGCCAGGCTGCTGGGTAGTTGATTGACAGAGTGTAAAACCCCAAGCAGTAAGTCTGTGCAGGATTAGGTCAGTCCATTTGTGGTTCTTCTGGCACCAGCAGAAAATTTAATGCACATATATTCACCCAAATTTATGGCTGCAAACACATCATAAAAGGGTGTACATTTTTGTACTTGCATACTTGAGGCAAGGAAAGTTTGATTTGACCACCTCTAATCAACACCACAATCAGGTTGAATATCTGGGCCAATTTTCACATCCTGTGGTTCTCAACTTGATTTATTTAGTCCAGTGAAACTGTAATTATTTTTGCAACTGTGGTTATAAATCACACAAAGACAACTGAGTAAAGCAGTAAAAGATTAATTGAAAAGTTTACTGCTCAAAGAACATAAAAGAGTTTCAAAAGTCTAGCCACTTAAATAAACCTCACCGTCTTTATTTTTCTTAATATTAGTAAGCTTGGCCACTCCAAGTTTTACAACTTTTCGCTTCACAAAACTAGAACAAGTAAACCAAAATTTTGTTCATATATGTAACACCCGGCAAAATGGTTCAGTCTCTGCATACTCTCACTCTCAGGGATTCTTAACCATGTAACATGAAAGTGAAAACAATGAGAATATACAGGACTGCAGCTTTAGCCACATTAATTTACATGTCACTGCAAACCGACTAAAAACATTGAGATCAGAAAAACATTCTCATATTTGCATGCATTCAGGAGTTCAAGTGGAAAGTAATCTGGGTATTTTCTCCTGGACTAGAAATTGCATAACAGGGAGGGACCCAGATATGAAACTTTAGTTAAACTTTACTGACTAGTCAATTACATTTGTCACAAGAAAATGCAGTTTTAACTTTGCACTGCGTAAGTTGTACCTCATATATATATGTGCCAGGGGTATGCACACTGCTTGATCTATAAGTACATATTCTGTACATGCTGTGCACAACTACATGTACATGTAGCTGGGCAGAAACAATCAAGACAGTCCAAATTCAACACATCAACATCAATTAGAAAGGCCAATATCCAGACAAGAAACGAAATGGCCTGCGGTAATGGACACACGATAGCTCACTCTTAATTGAATGGAAGTCGCTATCACAAAGTAATCACCAAAACTGGCTAAACTTGTGAAAGAGGAGGAAGTTGCGGGCTAGCCATGACTTTGACCTGATTGTGGTAGGACTGATAAGGGAATATCTATACACCCTATGCATATCGGTCCCATGCTTGGCATATTTTAGGGGGATATCACAAAATCAACTTCCTGGCACTGGTGTTCGTCAAATAATTTTGCCGGCAGGTCAACAAGTCTCTCAGACAGTCTGGAGGGCAACAGAAACATTTGGTTCTATAATTAACTAACAAGTCAAATCACAGGAAGTACATGGACCTGTCCGTATCTAAATTATATTTATAAAGGTTGTTTTTCAATGTATGCTACACGTGTGCTCTTCTGTGAAACAAACCTTTCAAGTTTTTTGAACAAGTGTTATCAAATGCCCTCCCTCACTTTGCTAGAGTGTCCCTCTCTTGGTGGGAAAACAAAGAAACATTGTTGTCTCATGAATGAATACAAAGGTTATTCCAAATTGTTCAAAAGCATTTACTTATGGCTCTAACCTCGATCTTCTTTATCAACTGACCGAAAAAAAAGTTCTTTCGCACTGGAACAGCAATTAACTGTAAATTGTGAGTTTGGTGGCAATCAGGAGGACACATTAAGAGAATCTAATGTTGTGGTATTAAATTGAACTAGTACTTTTTAGCCCATCCTGTACCTTCCGCAACTGCACCACTGTAATGTTTATAGGGTGCAATGACAAAGAAGATAGAAATCTGAAGTAAAATCAAGCAAATAAAATTCATAAAAACAGTAAAAACAAACAGTAACTTGTTTCCAACCCCACCCATTCAAAGCAAAACTACTGAACATAAAACTTCCCTTCTCCGGCCACAACAATGGGCATTACAAATGGAAACAGAAGCAAACAAAAACGACTGCCACTTTTTGGTTGTCAGTTTTTACTTAATTAATGAACTTTTTGGTTTTCTCTTTGGTAATGTACTCAGAACCCATACCAAGATGACTTGTTTGGCATTTCAACAAACAAAAAAGGGACCATTTTCAATTTCAAGTTTGGAATTCAGACCGAGTCAAGTGGGCCACTCGTGTGGTTTTCAGAATACATTTAGAATACTCAACAAGGGTGGATCACAAACGAAAGTAAAATACACCTGAAAACAAGCTGTCAAATGATTATAAATTCCACAGCTTCCTGTGACACCAGTAATTGTCATATTGGGACATCACAAGATGTGATGACAAAACCTCCCCCGACAAGAGTTGGTTCACCTCCTGACTTGTGGGGGGAGGGGAGGTGGTGAGCTGTTACTTTACTGTTACAGTAGAGATGCTGATACTACGCATTTCAGGTGCATCCCCCACACTTTTCTTTCACGGCGTGCGTAATAAGTAGTTCAACAGGTCTGTCCTTCCCGCAGTTCCTGTCTGACCGACAGCCTGTCATAGGATTAATCAGTCCGTCATGGCCGCTTCCCTGAGCTCGCCGGTGCCTCCAGTCATGTTACCTGTACTTTACCTGATGATGTGCAATCCTGAGTGTATTTATAAACAAATCCGGGGCCTGTGAGTCATGCAATACACGTATAGGTAACTTGTGGGAGGGAGAAACTTTCTCAGACAGACCATGGAGGAATGTTTCCTATGACAGACAGAAAGACAGACAGCCTGACACAAGTCTGATTAACCATGGAGGAAGTAATGTCCTACATGTATATGGATTAACACAACCAAACGTCATGAGGACTGGATCCCCAATTATTCCCAACTTGAGGGCAGGGTATGGTACCGGTAGACAATCTTTTTATATCCCACTGCCATCAGGGAGCTACCTTTTAGGCCAAAGAGGCTTTGCTGACCATAAAGCCTACTGCAGTATGCTGACCAGAAATTTGCAAAAACCTAACCGCAGTAGCAGAATACTGTCGAGATAAGGCAAAATTTCAAGAGTTGTGTGTCAATGTAGCAGCCCACTACCCAGAAATATAGGACACATGTATGGATACACGATACTTTTTTAGGACTGGGATAGATTACTATGCACCAGTATGACACTAAGACTGGTTTGAAATTCATACACTTCACTTGTATGCTTCAATCTGCACTTTCATGCCCGTATTTTATTGTTAACAATATTTGCCAGAGGTGATGATCATGGACTTTAACCCTATGCGAGGATGACAGAGATGCCAAGACACTTTTCTTGTGGACAAAATAACTCCCAAAGAGAGGGGGGAAAAATGTCATAATAATCCACAACCAAAACAACAAACACTGCACTGGTGGCCAGGGCTCTGTTTTCATTTCTGTACACAAACAAAGGCAGGCTTGGGAAAGGGCCTGAGCACGATTTGTCCAGAGGCTGGCGACAACCAATCCGTGATGTACCGGCCCCTGGAGTCCCTGCTCTCCCTCTTGTCTAGTTAGTGGTGTCCGTAAACCCCTCCGAGGCAATACACATGCTGGGATCCGGATCTCACTTTTTTTTCTCGGCAAAGTGGGTGGTGGGGGTTGATTTTAGGAAATGAGAAATTGGGAAGCTGGTGCACAGGTGAGGACGCAAGGATACCTGGCTGGTGGGGTTTGAGAAAGATCAGCCCAAACAACTTTCTTCGCATGTCTCCATGTTTTTTCCCCTGCCACCTCTGCTAGAATTTGAAAACCTGCAGAGACCATCAGCTGGATGACTGGTGAACCACTGCATCAGCAGCTTCTGCAGTCTTTCCCAAGGGGCAGTTGTTGGGAGCAGTAGTTGCTGAACAGGAGAAATGTTGCTTGATTATTAAGGTGCAGATTAATGTACCAGATTTATTAATAAACAAAATAAAGTTTGAAGAGAAGGCGCCACAAAGTTTTAACTTTTGTGTCATTACAAATCTGACATAAACATTGGAATAAGGCCTTCATCAGCTGAACTGTGACTAAATATATACAGTACATGTATATGGAAGTACAGTTACCTTATGTACAACTAATGACCCACATACATGTACATGGGTACACATGTATGCAAACGTGTCATTCAAGCCCTATTATATGCAGGATTCACAATCTACAGAGAATTCTTTGCATAACTCCCTCCGATTCCTGAGCCTTCAGCCTGTCTTGGCTGTTCTTTTCAGTCACACGAGGTACTGTAAATGAATTAAAATTGCCCAGTGAACGACAGAGAAGGGAGTTAATTTGAAGGCTCCACTTGCCTACTCCACAGCAAATGCATTTACATACAGTACTTGTAAATGTCTGCGGTTCAGTTGCTTGCAAGTTGGCATAAGAGGGGAAAAATAGCTCACAACTGTGTTGGACATTACTCAAACTTTACAAAGCTAAAGAAACTTTCAAGAACAGTTTGGCTTGATGCATCGATTCTGTAAAACAGTGAATTACCAGAAGGTCAAAAAGCATACATCTTTAATAGTTCAAGCCTATAAACTACGTACCGGTACCATAGATTAGGTGAAAAGCTTAAAAACCATGTCACTATCACATACATGTACTTCATATACTTTTGTGCACTTGCATATTATGTACAAAGTTATTAAAAACATGTTGATACCACCGTGTTCACTTCCCAACAGAGGGCAGCAGACATTTTAAATGGTCCACTATATACTTCCTTCATGTAATACCGGTTTGTTCAGAACTGTGGAAGAGCTCTATGTGTGCACTGGTCAATTTGCATCTTCCACAAAACAAAATAACAGATTTGTAAACAAGTGCAACAGATCGTCAAAATTTAACATGTCCATAATTTATAGGTTCTTTGCTATGCCGCATTTTTCCCATTCCTGTTACAAGACACAGACAATATAGACACTTTGGCAGATCCTCAAAAATCCACAACCAAACTCCTTAAATCCTGAAACTACCTCCAAAAGGCATTAGTGAGGAAGCTACAACCAGTTATGTTTATATACTGCTCATGTAGTCATACCAGTCACTGGTGCTAAAGCTATAACAGCAGCCCAAATAAATACTGTTCATCAACCCCCCTGCTCTTTTGCATAGCATATTACCATTTCCCTCAAGCAAGCTGCCTTGGCATGTGGAGAAAATGGCTGAGTTTACCTTGACAGTATTCACTATTATGCATCAATGTATTGCAAAGCATGACTGCACGTATTAAAGCATGGACCAAGTATTTTGGGGGGGTATGTTTGTTTAGAAATAGACAACCTTTAATGACAGTTTAGACTTGGAGGAATTCTTTCGTGCTAATATCTACTTAGTTAATACATGTAGCTCCTTTCATTAAGCATATTGTTTGACTTACAGTACCAAGTATTACAAAATACTAAGTAATAGCCGGAGCCTGAAGCACCTAGTGCTACAGATTACAACTTCTGGCTAGGTTACTCATACAGAGAATAGTAAAGCCATGCATTCAAGTGCCACAGCACTGTATGGTACATTGTTTTTCTATTGTATTTTATGGCTTCAGAGAACAATACCATCATGTCCTCTTACAAGCGGCAGCACTGATTACTACATGTACATTTTACTACAAGTAGTAATTTGTAGTATTATGTAGGGTTAGGGTTAATGATTCCTGGTGGCAGAGCACATATAGATCTATGGATTCTTTGAATCAGTGGGCTCAAGAAGCTGTCAGAAGTAACAGTGTCATCATGGGTGGCAGTTCTGTGACAAGCATCTGACCCATGCTTCCCTGGAAAAGGCATGGATTCATTAGCTGGTGGCTTTTGTACAATGTAAGCTTGTTAACTAGATAAGTTTGCAGTTAGCACTGTGAATATATCTCTATTTGAGCATGTGGGGTTCTGACAAGAACTGGTGGGACTCAATGTTTTGGACAGTATGCTCTGTCTGTCACCAGGAGACTGGCTTACACTGAACGTAGGCATGTGTTATACCAAGCCAAAGCCAAGAAGTTTGCACATGACCTTCTTCCTTATGGCTTGTCAGGAACCAGACACCTCATTGGCACGTATTTGAATGAACTACAACAGAACAAAGAAGCGGCTTCCACGGATGTTAGTCCTACCCTACGTGTATGTTATAGCTGCATTCCAGGTATTTCATACATGACATTCTTCCATTCAAGACAGCCTCCTTTCTTTAAACTTTGACCGCCTGAAAATAAGGGCCATTTTCAGTGGCGGGGGATGACATCTTGTATTGTTTTCATTGTGGGACCATCCTGGCTGCTGCTGTGACCTGGAAACACCCATGGGCAGGACGCACGACGTGCTGTGTAGCTGTGACAGATTGCGAGATTTAAACATCCTCCCCCCACCACAGAAAATGGTCCACCCAAGATGCGGAACAAGCACGGTCATTGGTGGGCTTGACTTATGTGCAGTCTGATAAACATGAACAGCATGAATGGAGCAACAGTCGAAAAAAATTTTTTTTCAAAAATACTACATGTACGTCTCATGCTCTGAAACCTTGTTATCCCTCTTTTTAAGAGGAATAGATTAATCAGGTTTGCTGACAGGGGAAAATTTGATTGAATATTTTTCTTACACCAGTGAATCATTTCACCACAAAAATCCGATTCCAAAACCCCATAGCACTACAACACCATGTAAACCTTGTTGGCTCAAAGTCATACGGAGTATGACAGAGTAGTAACTTTGAGTTCTTGAAGTAACACAGAACCAGACCCCATGTACTGAAGGAATGAAAACAGCATCTCTATGAATGCATCCCTACTTTTATTGAATCCCTACTTGCATCTTGGACATCCTGTCTGGTATTTGTAGTTTGGAGGGGGTGGGGTTGAAATCTGGTACAATTTCGTTTTAGCACAGGTGATAAACGAACTATCCTTGGACAACACCCAATTAGATACATGTATACAATCTAAACTGTACCCATGTACATCGTAATACAATTTGTCATACATCTAAAAGGGCAACTTTTTAAAGAGTCACACAATCTTGATCATGCATGTCCAAAAAGGCAATTTGTAGGGTTTTTGTGAATCAGACTTCCCAAAATTAACAGACTGCCATCCATGTTATCGGCACTTTTATGGCAGATGAGGTCTAGGTAATCTGTGTACATTTACATGTAGTTGGTAGTGCACCCCTCGCCGTCTATGCAGTTCGTAGACCGGTAAACAGTACCCCTAATAATTCCTCCATTGACGGAGGAGTAGGGGCCATTTTTAAGGGTCTAGCCTATGCCTGTGGCCTGGCTGGGGTTTGTGGCCCTCACCACTCTTTGGCCGTGTTCAACGCAGTCAAGTTTCAGACCATCAGCTTTCAGTGGAATAAAATAGATTTTATTTCCAGCGAAAATGTATTGAAATATGTACATGAAAGTACTATATTTGTAAACTAAACTAACGGCAAAGGTTGTGGACATGTCGGAAATACCGGTATAAAGGCTCATTTCAGTATAAACTTACCTCTGACAAACTCATGTTTGCAAGTTGACAAACGCCAGATTTTTCAGCTCTCTCGATGTGAGGCTTGATCGAACTTTGACCCATCGTTGTCCGAATTACAACACCTTTTGAAAATTAAAAGCAACTTCAAGACAAAAACAGAGAAGGCCTAAACTTATGTTAGCAGTGAATTTGTGATGACTTTTTCCTCCAATTCCAATGTTGACAGGTCACAGGTGCTCAATGATCCTTTAGGTCACCAGTCTGTTACGTCACTTCCGCCATGTGGCTGTATCAAAACAGCACCGAAATCAACAGCTACAAATATACCGCGCGTGTGTATCGTGGGTGCACAGGTGAGTTAGAGTGTAGGCCTAATCAGTTTTTGGGAAGCTCTGGAATAAAGGCAGAATTGACGTTGTTTCAAACGCTTGAGCGTTGAATGGCAAACCACGTTTGATTTTAATGTTTTGAACTATTAACTGGCCACATGGCAGGTCTTGTTTTGAGCCATGTGTTGAGTTTTCGACCGACATTTAATCACGATGACCATCCACAGCACAGCAAATACCCCCAGCCCAGAACTGTGTAGTTCGTCGTCCGCCAAACGTGGAAGTGCGGTGGACGACGAACCCCACAGTTAGTTCTGGGGTAGAACGCCGTGCACCCGATCATCATGATCGAATAACCATGAGTGAAACTGCTGCCTGGTTTTAACGTGCAAAAGTACTCTAGCAGACTACAACGAAAACTGTTCTGAATGAAGGAAAGAGATACGTAGTTGAAGAATGCTTATTAGCAGAATGAATGAAAGTAATGTGAGCTTAATTCATTAACTTTGTGGAAATCAATGTTTATGGTTTTTGAGAATCTGTCCTAATGTTAGGTCACATGGTATCCTTTGAAGTTTGAACAGTTATGTGCATGTAGGTTTTCTTAACTTCTTTGTATTACCAAAATCAATAAAATGTGCTCCAGAAGCAAGAAGTCAAGTTTTCAGAGGCAAAAAGAAGAACCATGAAGTTCATAAGGCGTTATCTCTATTTCAAATTTATGTTACTTTATCTGCAGGATTTTTAAAGCAGGACTCCATCTTATCTTCCTTTTCTGTGTTCTCCGACCCCTTAGGGGCAGTGCTCATGGAGGATAGGGCAGTTACCATGGCAACAGCATCATCAGCCCCTTGCATTCGTCATGTGTTTCTCACTGGTTCTCCAGGTACCATAGCAACTGTTAATTAAACGTCACGGAAAGTGTTTCAAATACGAACGCCAGTTGACACCCCATGCACAAACCCTATGAGACGGGTCGGAAAAATTCTGCTTTCTCAGTAAACAACTTGGTATTTTCTCTCCTAAATTGAACTTTTCTGGACATGTTTTTGCTTTCTGATGGCTTGTAGGTCACTATAGGGCACTATAGGAAATAATTTCTGGCATCTGCATATGAAACTCTTCCAACGTCACATTTTTACAATGATATTCCTGCTAAAATCATTGCTATAATACCTGTATAGAAGACTTGTTATATACTTTGTGAGTGAAAACTCCACACTTGAAAATCAAGGAATCTCCCATGGTACTGATACACAGGACCTTATTAGTCATTTGTAACCTACCCGTAATTCCTGAGATTAAGTGTTAATTACATAAAACGTGTTGGATTTGACATGTTTAGACCTTACTAAAGTAGCTGAAAGTCACCCGTGTAGACGCTCTTTTGAATTAATTTTCAGATGAATTATTAACCTCACTAGTTTGCTTTATACTTTACTTCTTACAAGTGCAACCATGTTTAAATCACCTGAGTCAATTTCACTGCAATCATCTGTTCACTAAATGACAGGTGTCGGCAAGACCACCCTAATACACAAAGCCATTGAGCAGCTCCAGCAAAGCTCCCTACACCTGCGTGGGTTCTATACTGAGGAGGTACGGGCTGGGGGCAGGAGGTCTGGCTTTGATGTCATCACACTGAGTGGACGCAGAGGGCCACTTGCCAGAGTTGGGTGAGATGTTGTGCACAACCTTATAGCATGAGTTTCTCTTCCCACCAAGTATGACACCAGAAGGTGATCGAGGAAGCTAGGAATTGAGGAAGCTTTGGATACTCAGTTGAATCTCAGTGTGACACTAATAGTTTGCCCCTTCTTTAACGTTTTCAAGTGTTGTCCATCACACACTCTGGCTGGCCAAAGTCTCCTATGTGAAAGATGGTATTAATGTTCACGCATTTCAGATCAAGTCTGAGTCCTTGTGCAAATTGTGGTTTGGATTTCTGTAAGACCTGCATCAAGCTTTGTGGCTAAAGACTTGTGTTCTTACTCATTTGAGGTATTTATCGACACAGCTTTAATTGGTTTGTAGACTTATATGTACAGTGTGCCACTTCATGCTTACATTGTACGTTTACTTGGAGACTTGGCAAAGGAATCAGCTACTACAGTGTATCTTGCTAGTGGGCCAAATATTTCCAAAAGAGACTTTGCACTGGGGAATTCTATTCGACTTGGGCAGTGAAGAAGATGAGTCCAAATGTTTTGGATGGTGTAATCGGAACCTTTCTCCAAGGCAAAATTTGTTTTTGAACTAGAAAATTTTAATGAAGCGTGGTAGACACATCAGAATGGACAAGATTTCGGCCTTCTTCATTCTTGTTTGTTATGCTCGTAAGGAGTGGAAGGTCTACATGTTGAATATCCCAGCTTTGACAGCTTAAAACAGGACTTTCTGGCTTGTAATCACTTTTTGTCTGGTGTATAAATGAAGTTTGGGTATTATGCCAAGGCCAAGTTGGATTATAGACCATGTGTTGACCATGTTGATATCCTTGGTAATACATCAAACATGCCAAGTAAAATCGGCCAACAGTCGATTAAGTTTTGCTGATCGAGTTTGGCCTTAATTGTAGTGCATTATCTTACCATAAGCACCAGTAATGTGCATTTATGTCAACAATGTTTGATACTTTCTTGGCCTTAGGCAGGGAAGGGGACCTGCTGTAGGGCAGTACACTGTGGACCTGGCATCGTTTGAAAGCCTGGCTCTGCAAGAGCTCTCCACAAAGGTTGGTGTTTCAGCATCATAACACGTGTGAGTTTTGGAAAGAAACCTGCGACTAGACAGACAACACTCATAACACAAGTAAAGACGAAAATGGTTGAATTTCCAAAATTCAGCTGTTTGTTCCCAATCAAAGAATGCAAAAGAGTTAGATGAATCCTAATACTATGCCAAATGAAATTACAAGATTACAGTAAACAGATAGTGGTGTGGGTCAGGGGTATTAAGCAAATACTTGTAGTGGGGATACCTGTACCCATTTACTGACTATAGGGTGAAGGGGCGTGGGTGACGACAAGTGGGCTGAGGATTAGGTGTCAGGTCAGGTCAGGTCGCAGATTAATATCGTCTGGGCAGTTAAGTGTTGGCTCAGATCCTTGGACCAACATATACATGATGGATTGTCAACAAGATACCACGGATGCTGGATTTTATTATTTATGCCAAGGAGGATCCCGGGAATGATTTAGATTTCAAATCTTATTTAAATCACAGGATCATGGAACATCTACCTCGTCCATTCTCATCATTGACGAAATAGGAAAGATGGAACTTTTCAGTCAAGGTTTCATCCAGCTGGTAAGGAGACATCTCAGCCAATCAACTTGCCCGATACTAGGGACCATCCCTGTGCCAAAAGGCAAGCCACTTGGATTGGTGGAGGAGGTCCGCAGTAGGAAGGATGTGAAAGTGTTTATGGCAAGTATCCGTTGCACAGTTTTCCAACGTGCTGTCAGTTGAAAGGATTTCAGTTACATTCAGAGTGTCGAAGAGTCAGTATTAAAAACGTATCTTCAAAGTTGGTGCTTTTTGATTTTGAGGAATTAGGTGCCTTTCCATATGCGTATTTAGTTGCAACAAGTGTTCAATGAAATTGCACAGGAATGTAACATTCCAAAAACTTACATTTGGAAAGATGCCTTACTTAATTCATTTTTTTTTCATTTGACTGTACAAGCAGAAAGCGTATTATGCATTATCTACAAGCAACCTTGAATATTCTGATATTTTCATTTATGGATGGTGTTTTACTTCATATGCATATATATACAGTATATGCTATTACCTGCAGCTTCACAGCCCTTGTTTATTGCTGCACAGTTGTGTGGATGGATACAAGTCAAGATTACGCTGCATTTCAATTTTTATCTTGACTGGAAGTTAGAGAAATTAAGCTGACAGCAGACAAAGGATGTTTCATATTAATTGGTGCTCAAGGAAAATGTGGAGGGTAAATCAAAATGTTTTCAGGTGTGATCCAGTGGGAGCATTGCTGTTTTCTTTTTAGGTGACTAAGGAGAATAGAAACAGCCTACTGCCGGAGATTGTTCAAACTGTGATGGAAGCAAGAACCCATATTGCATAGAAACAGTTTGAGTGACACCACGAAAGATCTAGAGTGATCTTTAACCCTAATATTTGGGGGTGAGATTTCTCGGCTTTTTGTGTTTTGGATTTCAGCTTTTTTCCTCACTGGCTGTGTACAAAAGTATAGGAGATTTTCACAGTGCAGCTTATGTCTGTTTTGAGCTGTTTTTATCATTGGTCAATCTCGCCCCTGAATATTTCGATATCCTTCAGGATCCGTCCGGAGTGGTGGGAGGATTTTGCAGGATTGAGCCTGGCCACTGTCACTTATAATGGGACATCTTGCCCCTCAGACTCAAGTGCACAGATTGTTCCATTGATTCCCTTCACAGTGGAGGATTTCAAGGATTCAGGAATCAGAGGGGAGGGTTTCTGTGGGAAATGTGGGAGAAAGTTTCTCTGATTGTTGTCAAAACTTGCTTTCTTTGGAGATTAATGCGCTGTAATACCCTAAAATGTTTTGTTTAGGACTCTCTCTCGTCCTTACAACATCAAAACTCACTGAATTTACTACTCCCGTTCACTATACCGTACTTGGAAGGTTTTGAACAAAGGGTGAAATCAGTAGTCGGTCGTACAAAAAGTTGTGTTTATTTAAGTTGTGACTGTCCATCCATGCATTCAGAATGGAATAAAAGTTTTTACTATGACAAGTTATTTAGCCCTCCTCCAGAGGCGCATATGACCATCAGAAAATTTGTTGGAGCAGCAATTCATTGGAAACAGAATGTATGCAGCTGCAAATCAGCAAATTAACTATTGATCAGCAAATCTGTTGAGCCTGAACAAGCCACAAACCAGTCAAAAGAAGAATGCATCAAATGAAACTTTGGGCTGGTGACCAAGCTGTTTGCTGTGCTCTGTCAATGGGTGCACTTTGTACCCCTACCAAATTCATGGCTGAAACTCTGCTGTCAAACAGAAAAGCAAGATTGTACTTGATGAAAAAGTGCTATGGCTTGGAGTTTGAACTCAATCAAATGGCCCGTTCACCTCAACACGTAAGACAGTGAGGTGACATACGTCAGTTTGAGTGTGAAAATCCGAGCTGAGATCAGGTCCCAAGTAAACCTAAATTATGAGCTCCATCCATCAACAAGACAAGGTGTATTTATGCACATTTCATAAACATGTGTGCCCAAATTCTGAAATACTGAATGTGTCTGGAGTATGTTGGACAGAACAGTATGACCGTAATAGTGGACACAGGTGTAACTGTGAATGAAGTTGTAAGTTTGTAAACTTCATTCACTTTATATCAACAGGTACTGATCTTTAAATGTAGATGTCAATAAAACCTGTCCCAAATACTGAGATTACCCCCAACTCTGAACTGCAGTTTGTTACACAGCTTGTGTTCAAAACCTGTTACCAACTGACACCACTGCTGAGCAGAGCCATGAAATTTGGCCTTGATCTTCATGTACAAAATGTGGACAGACCATCAGCTTTTACAGGCAAGGTCACTGTGCTGCATGCTACCACTCCATTTGTAATGATTTTCCTCAATGATGGGAGTAGATAAGACTGGTTTCCATTGCACAATAGAGTTCAAGGATTGGGACCCACTACATGGCTTCACTCATTCGGGCAGCTGGTAATCCAAATTGGATTGGATCAGTGGTCCATAATAACAAGTGACTGAATCTTCTCTGTCTACAGGATTTTTGTGAACAGACTTATCTGTAAGGTGACCGCGAGACTAGATTTTCAGAGATTCCACAAGCAAAAGCAGCTCTGTAGGTATTTGTGCATTCGGAAACATCTACCAGACCACTGAAACCAGCATACTTGAAGGGTCTGACATTTCAATCATAGCAGGATCTTTCTTGGATTTTGCTCCTTTGGGGAGATTCTGCTCACATCAACATGTCAAGCCCTCATAACTATGAGCAGTTGTGTTTCTGAGACCAGAATACAGTAAAACTGATAGGTGGACTACCAAGAGCTGTAAGTTCATTCAGGAGCAAGCCAGTTTGATATTTCAAAAAGCCAAGGTCTTTCAGGAATAAAGTGCACGTGTGAGTCGGCGTGTGGCTGCATTGATAGGACAGGCTATCAGGCATGCACGTAGCTATTCCCAAATAGCCTGGCACTGGGTATGCGCTGATGGAATATCGAACTGACTCACTGAGAATGGAACATTCTATTTGTGTACAACTTCCTTCAAATTTGGTTACACTTGAACGTTACAGCACTGCTGCAACATCTGTGCATAACAAACCTATGTACAAATTTTGTAGAGGGCTTTTAACACAAAATATGAATTGTAAGCTACAGGTGAAATAACTGATGGAAAAATAAAACAAATTATCGAGATAAGTATATAAATTATCTAAAGTGAAAATCTTTACAGCTGATCAATGTTTCAAATTGCAGCAATGTGACAAAGGAATTCACACGACCGTAGAATTTGTCTAGATTGCATGGTATTTTGTCTTGTTGAGTTAATGTACAATTTAATCTGCTGAACATGAGAAAAAATGAGAATTTTGCATTTTTTGTTCACACTTTGTGCAAAGGGAACACAAATGCAAATTTTTTTCCATTGGATCAATATTCGCGCTGTGAATTTGCAAAACTTGAACACATTTCAACTCGAGCGAAATTTTGCGGTGAATCTTTCGTGATATCAAATTTGCTGCGCATGAACTGGCCTTCGGTCTTCAAGAGGTGTGATTCGTGAACAATTCAAACTCTCACAACATGGAATTTTGCCAGAATTCTGCAGAACTTGACAAAGGGTCATATGATAATGCCTGAGACGTTAAACTGGCAGCATCGCGATACCAATGTCCAATTCAAGCATATTATTTGGCTTTGGCATCAGTCTTTGCGGCTACACCCAACCCCTATCAATTTATATCCACGCATCCAGCAGCATAAAGCAAAAGCCAACACAGCAGTAGAGGCAACTCTTCTGAATGCTGTAGAATGATACCAAAATAGTGTATAATTTGACAACATTTTGGTCAAACATTAGCCACTGCAGTCTTCCAAGTATGCCACAAGTTGGCCTAACTCGAACTGGCTGGAGCCACAGCATCACCAAGAAGGGGTACACTTCACTCAAGCAAGTACTGCCAGTGTTTGTAGTTTTCAAGTGCATCCATTGAGAACTTGTTTGCAAATGTTAGCAAGCACCAGCTCTGTTGGCATAGAACGGAACACACCCTAGATGTCAAAATGAGCAAGTAAGCTTGCTTTCTCAAATTACTGCTTGTGGGCTTGCTGCACTGGAGGGCTTGTAGCTGCTGTACACTATTTACCTTTGTGCACTTGACATCCAATGACGTCGCAGGAAATTTAGTACATACTTCAATCCCAGTTTACTTTGCACGTGGCATGCCCTACACTACTCTCTTGAGCAAGAGCAACAAGAGCACCCTCAAGGGACTGAGCACAGACAGGATGGGCCCGTGTTGCTATGACGGATCTGCACTAGCTCTGTAGATCTCCATGACATCGCAGAAGGCGACATGTGGACTGCATTACATAAATCCAAACATGGCATTTGCATATGCCATCGGTCGTACATCAGGATGTGACTGTTAAAGAGTTAAATAAACAAGTCAGGTTGTGAGGCAAAACCTATTCCCAGCTTCGTAAGATAGATCCACTTTCCTGAGCATGTTCGAAATGAGAAGTTTAACTAATACAGGAAAATATGCAAACGAGGTCAATAATTTAGTCTTTTGAGAAGAAGCTCTTTCACAAACAGAAACATCAGACGAAAGAATGTTTCTTACATCATAAAAGTCCACCATATTTAGGTTTAAGAAAAAAACAAGTTGAAATCCAGAAAAATCCTAAGAAACCAACACACCTGATTTCTTAGCAATACATCTACCATAAAATAATCTTTGACATTGTAGAAATTTCCAAGGTAAGATACAAAATTCAACTTACAACTGCTTCGTATGTGGTGAACTTTGGCTTCAAATCCGAGCCCATCGTAATGAAAGCACCTTTGTTTCCCATTGTGTCACTGAAACAATGCAAATAAATAATGAAATGTTTAACTGAGCTCTTGGCTATCTTGCATAAAGGCAGATTGATTCTGACTCATCTAAGGCAGCATCAAAGAGACTTCTGTTGGTGGTGTGTTTTTGAATTGAAATGAAGCAGAAAATGGTCATTCAAGCAGGAACATGTTTTGGAATTTATCACCCCCATGACGTTCCTGATATCACGGCTGCTCACAAAAACGACGAATTGCCAGAACGCTCAGTAATAAACCAACATCCAAATAGTTATTGTTTCAACTAACAAACGAACCCAAAACAGATGTCAGAGTCACATAAATATTACATGCTACTATTGAGTATCATTCCTGGCCAATATTTGACCCTTTAATCTAAACCAATTTTTAAAACATAATTTTAAACACCTTACATTTTACTGTGAATAAAGAGCGAAAGCAACTTCAAAAAGTTTGGCAGCTGTGGCCAATTAATATTAAAAGTGTGCTTGAAAACACACGTCCCAAAATGCACTTACCAGTAATTAGGAGCTGAGAACACTGTTATACATTTTCCATTGTGTGCAACCTCGTAGCCTTCAGCTTTGACCTCGTGGCTTCGTATAACGTACTCCAGACTATTCTGCTCTAAGAATCGTTTGGTGATGTCGGGTCCAAACTGGATCCCCACCCCACGCTTGCTGGGCGCCCTGCCCAGCTGCGGCTGGGGGTCCGACCACAAGATTTCACACATGATACCTGTCGAGCAAAAATGGATCCATCCGAGTATTTGCTGCGGCGTGTGTGCTGGCGTCTGTACTTGCTGAGCAACACAACATTGTACTCTGCGTGTTTAATCAAGTGCTCAGTGTTTGAAAGAAAAAGGGTCCTGTTCACTTCTGAAAGAGTAAGAATGTAAGAATGATCTGTCTGCTTGCAAGCATGGGGTTTTCCACAATCAATGTCTACAGTTTTATTGAACACTTTCCTCAATGCTTATGCCCATTTACATTCTCTTTATTAAACCACTGCTCAAAAATACAAGAACACAGCCAATGCTGATCATGAATCCACAGCTCAGAGAAAACCGGACAGTTTTATTTGTCATAAGGAGTGACTTAACAGTAAATAACTTCAAAGACACAATAGTCAATTGGATTATGCTTATTGTCCTATACAATCTTGGATGACTAATTGGTAGAACTATCAATCATTAGTTTATTAGGCATTGAACAAGTTTCATTATTAAAACATGGGACGGGACAAAGTTGGTTACTCTGGTCCAAGTCCAATAACCTGTGATAAATCATGGAAGCCACCCTCTTGATAGATCATTTGAGGTAAGGCTGTGTGAGGGAATCAGCCTCTTGATGTCAATACAGATTAGCACAGCCAATCAAAGTTGTCTCTGTGGACGACTGACTGACCAACTCTGACAGCTGGAAAACACTTTTGGAAAAAAAAACCAGGACCCTTTTTGGTTCAGACTGAAGTAGAAACTGCCCCAGTGAGCAAACATACCCGTTTCTGGTGGCTGCCTGTCTCTATCCACCTTCCTGATGTCGTCTAACGTCACACTGTCGTCGCTGAACAGCCCACCGTGCATCACTAAGACCTTGTGGTTGATGACCTGGGCCAACGGTAGCCAGTTGTAGACCTCGGTGAAGAGGTCGGCCATTTTGGACGTGTACTTGGCCTTCACCTCACCATAGAAACCATACATCTGATTCATAGTCTCGCTCTCGTGGTTACCTGTGAAACAAATTCATGCCTCGATCAATTTGTGTGCATGTGTGTTGTTACAGTGGATTGTCTTATGTTTTAATTCGTCAAATGGTGATACAAATTTAAGAACCCCTGGCATATCACCTGGGGTACAGGACTCAGCACTACAAAATACTATGTATTAGTACGAGCCTGAAGTACCAAGCCCTACAAATTACTACTTCTGGCTGGGGCACTTCCATTGTTACTCGTACAAAGAACAATAAGGTCATGTACTCATATAGGCCACAGCATCATATGCTACAGTTTACTTCTAAGTAGTACTTTGTAGCTTTCTCTGAGGTTAGGGTTAATATAGAGTACCAAAGTGTGACGTCACTGTGAACCAGAAAGTGCAGTGCAAACGAATGGAGTATGCGAGCATGTTGGTTCACGCGCTGGTTCTCGCGCTGATGCCTTTTACACACAAATTGTGTGCGTGACGTATTCACTTCAGTACTCTATAGCACTTTTGATGAACACTTGTCGACACATTTGTTTACATCTGCACTCTGTTCAGTTGTAAATTTCCTTCGAATTGCTCAATATTTTCAGCTGTATTAAAATATACCGGCCTACATGGATAGCTGTATGTAAAAATTGTGAATTTCACAACAGGAAATTGAAAAAGGAATAGGGGGGTTCCTGATGCATTACAACTTAAAATGCAACCTACTTGATGACTTTCAAATCTCATAGTAAGATTTCACGACCTCTTGTTAGACTTAGACAATGGAGTATCCTTTGAAGGGGATTGCGTACCTCTCGATAAATGAAAGTGATCTGGGTAGAGAAGCTTAAAACCAAACAATGTCAAAATAACCTCCACCGAGAAGGATCCCCTGTCTACAAAGTCGCCGTTGAATAGCTTTCTCAAGGAGTTAAGGATTAAAAAACATGTACCATCATTCTCACCAGCATGCACATGGTGGTGCGTAAGACTTATTCTTGCATCAAGAAACAGTACAATTTGAATCTACAGTTGACCGTGGACCCAAAACCATTCCAAATTGGGAAACAGGTTGATTTCTCGTTAGAGATCAGAGAATCTAATGTTACATTTTACATACATATATAGTACATTTACATTTATTTTGATGTTGCCATAATTCATGAATGTATTAACAATTGATAGAACACTGAAGATTACATGAATGGCAAGATCTGGGTCAAAGGTGAAACAACAGTCTCTGTTCCTCTCCAAAAAACCTTCAAAATCCAGACTTTACAGGAGTTTTGAAGCAGTTCAAGCAGTAGGGCCCAGTCAGTATTAATTTCCAAGTGGCTTGCAGCTCAAAAATGTACCACTGACTTCTTGCACTGTGAGACATTCTGGGAGGTTTCAGGGAGAGTTTTGACAAAAATGCCATGTGGAGTTAGGGAAGAATTTGAGGAGTCAACAAGTACAAGGATACATATGGGTTGTCTTCTGATGGGAGACCGTTGAGCTTGAAGATGTTTAAGAGATCGTAGAACTGTCCATGAATGTCCCCACACACTGTGAACTTGCCCCCCTCTGGAATGGTAATGTCACATAATGACGGCAACGTCCTGAAGAGTTTGTCGATTTGCACTAGTATCTGCAGGAAGGAAAGGTTGTATGACCACATACATCCAACTCTTTTGGTTGTAGGCCTGGCGTATCTTGGAGGTACGTGTAAGCCTTCAGATATCATATTTTGAGTTATCAATCTAACTGGACATTTACTTGAAGAACCAATGATCACAAAGGTGGCTATGACCAATTCATGTTATTCAAAAGTAAAATTGGGCCCATGATAGAAATTAAGCATTTTTACAATGAATCCTTGAAGCACATCTTTATGTTCCAAGGGTCCTCAATTCAATTTTGTTTTGCCCTTGCCAAGAGTGTTCCTTTTTAAAAAAAATTTAATGCTAAAATGATTTCCCAGTTGTTGAGTATTGTACTTGTGGACAAAACTGGATGAATTTGAGAAAGGTCACTCACTACTAACCAAACAAGCTGAGGACTTTTATGTTCTGTATTGAGAACCTCAACAGTGACTTACTGTGTATGCATATTTTCTGTGAACTTTCTTCTGTTGTTTGAAATGTTCTAACAGATCTACCATGAACTCCTTGGTTACAGTGTGCTCAAATTTGGGTCCGTCATACTCGTCCTCTATAACTGCAGACAAGATGTAAAGTTGAAATTAAAACTTTTGAGCAAAAAAAAAAATCAATTAACACTTACAATTACATTAATAGGATGCTTTTTTCCAAATGGAATTCTCAGAAAAATCTCATCAGCACAGATTAGAATCAGCAAGGTCCTCCAAACACTTACCCATATTTTCGATGTCCAGATTGTCAACTACTGACTTCTTGGGATCATCCGATCTGATTGCACGCTCAAAAGCCTGCCTCTTGACAATCTTGCTACACTCTGTGAACTTTAACCTGGCATCCTTGTCATTTGACCTGTATTTTACCACCTGAGGCAACAAAATTTGGCATCAACAGTGTTCATTTCTGGGGTGGGACAACAAAAGAACCCAGTATCAGTTGTATGATAACACAGGATTATCGTGATTGGATCACTTATCCAACATATCCAACACTGACAAATAATTAACCAGCAAAATGAAATGTATACCGTTTCATAATCCTTGAGTGCTTTCTTGAATTTGCCAAGCGCCATGTTTGCTGTAGCCCGTCTGTAGTACCCCTATCAACAGAAACAAAAATTCCACCTACTGAGTAAATACATAGACAGTTCCCCTGTGCTGCAGTTCCCCTGCTTAATGGACCCCAATTTACATATACATGTAATACCTTGTAAATGGACTGGGGCTGGATGAATATCCTTGTTAGAAAACTGAATGGAATGGATCAGTCCCATGAAAACAACCCCCAAGTATACATTACATCAATGACGGACTGGTTTTGGGCAGTGAGGGGTAGGGTTAACAACTGATGGGCCCATAATTCTTCAGATACTAGGATACTGACCTTGATGTAGGATCGGTCGATGGCCAATGCCTCGCTAGCATCCTCCAATGCAAGGCCAAAACATTCTGTCTTGAGATAGGCAAAGCTACGATTACCGTAGTAGGCTGCCACCAGTGGATTGGCTTCTATGGCTTGTGAATAGTAGATGATGGCATTCTGAAAGTCTTGTGCTGCAATTAGAAATCAGTTGGATGAAATTTCAGGCTATTCATGGTGAAGGACAGCAACAGGTGGAAAGGCTTGCAGTAGCACCATGCGAAGGAATATATCTCTCTTATGAGTATGTGGGGTTCAGAAAAGAACCGCGAGTATACTCAATGTTAAAGACTGCATGCTCAGTCCGTTATCAGGTGTCTCCTGATGACGGACTGAGCACGCAGTCCAAAACATTGAGTATACTCCTGGTTCTTTTCTGAACCCCACATACTCATAAGAGAGATTTATTCCTTCGCATGGTGCTACCGCAAGCCTTTCCACCTGTTGCAGAAATCAATTATCTCCACGTACATTTTGGTCAAAGTTTCCTTACACAAGTTTGATCCTACGTACGGCTGTGAACTTACACAGAAAATATTATGTAATATATAGAGTAAAGTGTCGAGTCAGAAAAAAAAAATCGCAAAGCAATGTAAAATTTCAGGAAACTTTCCCTTTTGAAATACATCTTTCAAATGGCGCATCATCCATGAATGATCAAATGTTTTATGTTTGAGATATTCACTTCACTTACTTCACAGGCCAAGTCTCAGGAATACGTCCTAATATCTGACAGTTACAGAGGAGAGACAAAAATCCTATTTTTTTACACCTGAAGTGCTGAAGTGCACCCCAAATCGGCAAAAAGACAGACAGGTGGTTACAAGCAGGTTCTTGCACGCAAAGACCATACATGCCAGAATAAATTAGTTACACGTACTTGCACGCCTATGTGGTGAATACCAAAAAACATGCCCTCTTTTGTTCCGTTCGGAGCAGATACACAATTGTTTAAAGGTATCACAAACTTGCCCTTATTATTGTTCAACTGAATTCCATTTACACCTTAAGTAGATTATGTTCCATAAATGTTTGCTCCATTGTAGATATATTTAGTGACATTGGCCTAACAAAATGCCCGAAAATTGCATGTCACAGTCGCCTAACTATGATGTACAAAATACAAGAATGAGATCCGGATTACACTCTTTGATATGAATTATTTGTTACAGAATTTTATTTATAATGTTAACAAACTGTCTGCTAAAATGTTGGACACAAAAATCTCAATAATTCCCACAGGAAAATAACCAAGCTTCCTGTCTCAATGAATCAAAACATCTCAGTGAATTTCTCAAGACAATTTTCTTCCACCATTTAGGAGCATACCTGTACTGTGGATGCAAACGTTTGCATAATCTTACTCCAACTAAAAAAATCTTTCGATATCAATCCAATACACCAATCTTGCTAGCATCAATAGCATAATAATCTTGAAATCTTTCAGTATCAGTCATATATAACAATCACATCACAATCACAAAATCACAATAAGACAATTTCACAAATTCAGAGTAGAAGTTTTCATGTCAGAGTTGTCAGGGCTTCTTGAAACTCGGTACCCCGCGATGTTCCCTCAATGTACTCTTTAGGTACAGCCTGCGTCTACGAGCCTCCAGCTGTGTATGTCTTACCCCCGAAGATGTTTGTCTAGATCTCTAGAACAGGAGCAGGTACATGCCTCTGACCTCAGTCGTTCTCTATGTATGCCCTCTATTCACAATGGTAATGTTTCAGGTACCGACATGGGCCATCTGTTAATCACAGAAATAACACCAAAACTATACAGGCTAATGGTCCTCTGTGATCTCAACTTTTGACAAATAGATTCTTCACAAGGATAATTCAAATGAATTTCATAAATCAAAACAGAGACTGGGTCAATTACATGAAAATAAGTAAACTTACGACTGCTGATGTCTGCGTAAGTCCTTCTCCGTGCCACGGCTTGCTTAATTAACAGACCAGAATATTGTCTGTGCTAGCAGCAGGGCTTTGGCTAGGACAACAAAATCAGCGCTCCGTGGCTGGGCAGCACTCACAATCAATCACATACCAAACATGTACGTCTTACACAATCACACACTCCTTCAGAATCTGTCCAGCATTCTCTTCCCTCTGTCAAATTTGCCAGTCTTATACTGTGTGCACTCGAGCACGCCCGCATATTCCTTTGATTTGGGCTCATGGCCCCAAACAGGCAAATCATGGCCTAAAGAACAGCTCAACCCAAAGGGTACAGGACAAAGAAAGAGGATAAAATAGGTGTGTATGAAAGATACTTGTACCAGACTTGGCACAGCTGTGACAGGGCACACCCTCATTTTTTTATGGCCTTCCCTCTAGCTCTCTATGGTGAATTTCCATGACATGAGCTTATAGCATAGGATTATTTCCACCCAACACTGATGACCGTGTAGAAAACAGGTCCCTCGTTTCACCATTTACTGTGAAAACCAATCAGACCTGACACTAGGTGGCGAAGTAAGGGACCTGATGACTATACGGTCATACATGTTATAAAAAGCCATTGCTCAAATAAATGTAACTTACAAGAAAGCAGGAAACATGGTAAACACTGCAGATGTAGAACTAATCAGGGGGAGCCCACAATGGGGCAAAATACGGTCAGTAGGAGAAGAGTTCCATCTCTAATTTTTCCCTACAGTAGCCATCAGAAAAGGATAACAAGGCTTAAAAATCAAATGTAGCCGGGAATATGTCAAAGCATTATACGGACAACACTGATTTTGCCTTGCCGTTGCTTATCATGTGTATACGCCTAGCCATCAGAAAGTGGGAAGAGTCCCATATAGAGATGCCACTATGGCGATTTACGATAACAGCCATCAGAAAGCAAAAACATGTCCAGAAAAGTTCAATTTAGGAGGGAAAACACTGAGTTATTTACTTAGAAAACAAAGAACTTTTCAGACCAGCCTCAAAAGGTTTATGCACGGGCTGTCAAGTGGTGTCGGCATATATGGAACTCTTTCCCAGAAAGTCATAGGCCCCCAGCCCCCAACATTCACAATTTAGCAGTGAAAATATTGAAGCATTTTTAGAAAACACATTTGCAGACCAGTCATGCCAGTATCATGTACATGTATGTCACACGGTTTGTGCACCAGCATGACAGGGTGTCAAGTGACAGGGTGTCAAATGCCCGGATATAGAACCACGTAAGACTAGTGATAGGCCGGCTATGGCTAAAGTGTCTTGGATAGGCAGATAAACCTAAGGTGTAAGAAGGGAGCGGCTTAGGGAGCGATTCGGACATGTCGGACCGGTCTCTTAAATTTTAGTTAAACTCTGGCAAAGAGTTGGCAACAGTGGCATCAGACCACCTGGCTATTTTGACGCCCGTATACCTTTAAAAAACTCGTTTGCTTTGTTCTTCAGATCTTCGGCCCTTGCCTTGTCGCAAATTTCCTGAAGGGGCGGCTTCGAGTTAGGGTCAGATTTCCCCGCGCTAGTGCCCGTAGAACTACTCGTGTCTCCCATGTCTGCGATCGTGGTTTGCGCCATCTTGAAAACGGCTGGTACAGGGGTGGCGCTAGTCTTTACCCAAGACGTCAGTGATGGAGCTTGTTTTATTTTTTTGAAGAGCGCCCTCGCACACCTAGCCGGCGCACAGTCTAATCGTGAGTCGTTGGGGCGCATTATGCACGGTGTCCGCTACCAAGCACTAACGTCTTGAAACCAAGACTAGGGTGGCGTTAGCTAGCTCTCGAAAGAAATTTCTAAAAAAAAAAAAAAGCGGAGCCACTGAAAACAATTTTTCCCTTTACGTCAAGTGGGGGCGCTATTTACATTCCATAATGTCCCTTTTTCTTGCAAGGCAAGAAAAGACACAAGCGGTAATGTTCAATCACAAAGCTGATGAAAGATTAACCAGCCCCATTTACAAATTAATGAAAGTTTGCCACTAAAAAAGGAAACCAGACTTTGTTTCGATCGAATAGTATTTCGGCATTTTTACAGAATCTGTGTGCCCATTCATTATTAAGTTTTAAAAACATCACAATGAGATGCTGTAAGAATTAAATCATTCAAAACGTGCATCCAGTATGTCAAAATATGTTGTACAAGTGTGTGGTTTATTCAAATTGTTTTCATTTATTTATACATGGTACATGAATTTATTCAAAATCCCATTCCATTTGAACCCATGGAAAGGTGGTCATACCACAGACGTGGTAAATCAATGGATAGGGTGTTCGAAATATACAGTGTTGTTTAATGATTTGAAAATAAGACTAAAAAAAGCAAAACTGAAACTGTTAAGTCAACAACATCCAATCTATACACTTCCTCACTGTACCTCCAAGTCATACTCACATAATACCAATTGAAGTGGCTCCCATCAGGTTTCAACCCAGACAATTCTGCAGAGTAGGTTCTATGAAATACAGACCTTTAGTACAAGGACGTATATGTATGCACCTGAAGTACTATTCTGGTATACCACAAAACTGACACTGAATTTCATAAAAGTGCAAAAAATGGAAAAAATGATCAGCCCCCCCAAAAGAAAAATAACATAAGAATCCTAAAAAGAACTGTTTGACTGGTAACCAGTTTTTACAACAAAAAGTTTTTGTCCTGGCAAATTTGTGGCCCAAGAATCTCAGTCATTTCCCTAAATAACTTTTCATAAATTTACAAAATCTACTCTCTGTAAATCAGAGACAGCTGTCTGAACCCTGTTCCAACACAACCAGAAATTAAAGTGCCAATAAATTTTAAGTTTAAGAAATGCCAAGTTTATCCTCTCACGAGTTCCACCCCCCCCGGGAAAAATTACTGCAATATCAACAGGCAATTTCTATGAATCAAATTCCCTGCTGCTTTTGGTAATTAAAAACGTTTGCACTTCCCTCAGTTGCTTTACATGGCATTATTAAAATAAAACTTTATTCAGAAGGGTTAAGATATTTTTTAGAAAGAAAGTATAAATAACGCAGTCAACCACACATTCCAAAGCACCTAAACCTCAATCACAAATGAGCACAGTTGAATCATGTGTACTGTCATTCATTAAACATTGTCAATTATCAACATTAACTTCACTGTGAAGTGTATGAACACTTGTGTGAACGTTTGCTGCACAAAAAGTGATAAAAATTGTCTAATATGCAAGGCAGTAATACATATGGGGTTAAGAATATTTGCTGCTTTCAATAAATCTCAGGTGTCCAACAACTGAGACCAACTTGTTCAACAAGTAAGATTGGGAACCATGGCTAAGCAGTTGACGACAGTGTTTCTGCCAGAGGAGTGTCTGTCTTTGCACATCCTGTTTTTGATGCCTTATTTCATTACACAAAAAAATATAAAAAAAAAAACATCTCAGCATTTTGAATTCCCTGCAATGCCACACTTTAAGGCAATACGGTCATCTAATTTTTCACATGCTGGCTTAAAGCTTGGCTGCAGAAGGTCAACCAGTCACCGGACAGGTGAAAAATATATCGGTGCAGTCGAGCAAGACAACTTACTGCAATAACATCTAGAGATTAATGTCGCTGGTATACATGATTTAATGCACGCTAAATGGCTTCGAACATTTACACAAAAAAAGGTGGTACAGAAATGTCAGTTACTTATAGATTCATTCTTTTGGATATCATGTACACTGGAAACCCTTGATTTACTTAAACTACACTGACAGAAGCTGCATGACATTTCTTCAAAAATGAGATGACAAGACAGTTTCCTACAATCTGACACAGATGAATGGTTTTGTGTAAATTATTTCATTGTGTTTTTCCTATTAAAGTTAATAGTTGTACTTAAGTTTCCGTACTCGCATGAAGCTACTGACAACGTCATCTGTGACTTTCTTCCTGTTTTCCTGAATATCACCTATCAGCTTCTGCAGTATCACAATCAGTTCCTTCTTCAACTCGCCTGTAAGTAGCTTGCCACTCGTGTAATCCTGCCAAAGTCAAAAATCATTTTTTTTTACATACGTTAGTGACGTGAGACATAACTCACAAGTTAGACTGAAGCGGCGTCTATGGCTGGAGGCCTAACCCAAGCCACGATAGCTGACTACCTACCCCACACCTGGGCTGGGAGGGATTAAAACCTTACGTGAAAAACACAAGACTCTGAAATCGAATCATTTCTTAAACACTTTAAGAAAATACAGAAATTTGACATGTTGTCACCCATTTTGCTTCTCCTAAGGACACTGCTGCTGAGCATAGGATGCCAAAAAGCCTTTTAATTATTTTTAAGAAACACTGTCCTCCGTTTTGTTTTTAGTTGCCATGGACGCAGAAAGGTTACAAACATTGCAACCAAAAAGTGTTGCAGAGAAGATAACAAGTAGAATGATGATTTTCTTGCTGCTTACAGCAGATGTGCAGTAGGGCTTAAATTGCCAGTTTCATGGCTGTCAGGGGAAGGGGGACCAACAAGAAAGCTTCTCCCTCCCACCCCTGAAAAAAAAAATTAAAAAAAAGGCAAAATTGCAAAACAGTAAGAGAAATAGAATAAAATGAAAATCACCAACATGCTGAACAAAATACCAAAACTGACTCCTCCAACTCATAAATATTTATTAGTTCTAAGATGACGAGTGCTTTACATCCCCCCTACCCCAAACAAAATTCTGGTGATGCTCCTGGCAAGTTTGTTGTGAGTAGATAAAAGTTAAGCCCCACACCCGCCAGGTGCTGCGACTACTACTTAAGGCCTATGTGGTAACAAAATGTCCCCACTCATGAAGTGGCTCTTTCATGCAGGACTCAAGTCCAAATAGACCTGAAACATAATGACATCACGCTTTGTTTACAAGTGCGCTCTCTGATGGGGGCTTGATGGATCATGTCCTACCCACCTCACTGCCATAGGGAAGCACACCTGTAAACTAAGCGAGACATCATTGTGTTATAGGTCTTACCACTTTCCCTTGCTTCGCATCACTGAAATTCGAACACACACCTGTCTGATCTGCTCAAGGCGGGCATCGTCTTCCATAAGGAATGACAAGTACTGATAGGAGATGTCAACTTCGCAGTTGCCCCCCTTCTCACGGTGCTCTTCAACTGAAGCTCCTCCCCCTGAGAAGGCATACTTGTTGATCTGTTGCGGTTGACACAAAAGTTGACACAAGCACAACAGTTTTTTTTGGATAGTCCACTAGCAGAATACTATAATGGCCAATCACACGGCATGTTTCATTACAAGCCAGCCTCTTGATGCAACAACACAGGGTACCACATTCATTCCACTACTCAGTTGCTCTGTTATTTCCTAACTTTCCTAAATTGATGGATTTTCTCAACAGAACTTAAAAGCACTTTAGACAGCCCATTTCAACACCATTTGGTTTCTTCCCAATCTGATAAACACTTACCTTCGTTTTAATTTGCTTGGGTGTGTCGGTCAAGTAGATGGAGGAGTTAGGATCACTGGCACTCATCTTTGTCTGAGCTCCTTGAAGTGCAGGGAAGAACGTTGAGTGGATGAGAGCAGGCTTTGGGAAGCCCAGACGAGGCGCAACATCACGGGTCATTCGGAAATAAGGATCCTAGACAAATCAGGGATGATAAACAAAAATGGAAATCAAACTTGATCAGGAAGAATAGACATGTCAGTGACATCGCAAGGGGTTATCTTTGGATGTACATTTTCCAATGTTAAAGCAATAAATCCAGAAGAAATTCGGAATGACATTTTGGAAATACAATTTTCTTTTCTTCTTCTATACACAAGTACCTTCATTAACAGTTTTCATGACTGCCGTTTCCAAGAGGGTTACTGAGGGACTGATTCAAGGGGTCCAGATCTTCACAGAGTGACTTACTTGGTCAATTGCACACGGAATGAGGCAAGGGATGTCTTTCTTGTTGCCAAAGATCTGAGGGAAGGAACTGGAGAACGATGGAGCAGCTTGGATGGCTGGGAAACTGATTTTGCCTGCAGGGGGGGAGAACAGATGGTATTAAAATAATGATGAATACCTCAAAGTCAGTATTGAGATTGCCTTGACAAGGCGCCCTATGAGTGATGACACTCATATCCGTAAAACATGAGAAATGCAAGTGTAGTGCAAGTTTGTGCACATTCAACTGAAAAACTGTGCACTTCACTCATGCAAAAAAAGAGTCACAGTCACGGGAACACAGCCCCGTTCAAACAAGTTGTTCCATGTACCACTGATTGGCTCTGATGGGTGTGCCAAATAGCACCCTCTTCAGTTCCTGCACAGAGCACATGGCTCAGATTAAACTAAACAGCACCGTATCACAAAGGATCACGTCAATGTCATGAATTATGATGACTGGGAATAAAACATCACACTGACAAATTTAGAGTAACTATCTTTCTGGTTACTATGCAAATAAGTATGACCAAACCCATAATAAATCACCACCAAAAACAGGAGAAAAGTTTTTGTTTCCTACTGAGAGTACAATTTAAGCTTAACCCCAGAAAGTAAATAACGTTTGCATGAACGCAAGCATACTGGTTCTACTTGACCTCATGTGACTCCAAATGTACTAGAGATCCCAAGTGAAGAAATACAAAAGAATTGAGAGAGCAGATGACGAACGAGAATACTCATCTGGGCCATTCAATTGAGTTATTATTTGTGAATATACAATCTAACCGAGGCTTTTACTCACCAATACAATCGCTATCCGTGAAGCCGAATATACCTTTGACTTGGTTGAACGTGATGCACTTCTGTATCTTGATCATATTCTGGTAGAAAGGTGGGGAGGAACTGCAAAAGAACAAATACACGAGCCGATGTTGGGCAAAATATTACCCTACGTGATAGCATGAGGGATACCATCACACTGGTAGTGCATTGCCTTCAGCTTCTACGCCTCAGTCATACAATGCTTCCCGTAAAACGCACATCTCTTTTAGGGCTGTACACAAATTTTGGGGGCCCCAGTATCCAACCTATGATGTCGGGAACTGGTTCCAAATTATGACACTGGGCATCCATTAACCAAATTTAAAAATGACTTGGTAACTTTCAGGACAAGGAAAAATAAACGGATTACACAGTTCTTTTGGTGGGACAACTTCAAAACAACAACCTGGCTAAAATGGATTCACATGTTTATGTCCAAAAATGTATGGATAAGTTTTGAGGTTAGTCAGAAGTGCTTTTATCAAAGCATTTCTCCCACTTTTGTTCTTTGAAATTTTGGTTTAAATTTCTTGTCCCTCCAATCATTCCCCTACTCAGACAGATCTTCAAAACATCGGTGCAAGAGAATGAGGCATGAGAGAATAGAACTGCAGAAAACAGGATTGCTTGAGATGTAAATTAACCATATGCTGCTGGGTCTAAATTGAAGTTGCATGACGAGTTCCCGGGAGATTTTCAAGATTTTCCATTTTCAAAATTCTTCAAAAATTCATACTTCATTTACCGGATGTTTACATCCACATGAATGACTGTCTGGTGACTACTCTGACAGGCAACACCTATTGACGCCTGAGTATTTGTAAAGAGAGCCCAGATTGTGTGGCACTGCGTAATTTTCTTTTGTTCCCGAAACTGGCCCAGTGCACTGTTGGCGTCTTTCAAATGCAGCCAGATTAGCGTGCAGCGGTATTGTATTTTTCATCGCTGGAGCGCTTTTGTCCCCAGTCATAATCCGCTTGCACTGAATGCCACAAATAGTGCTATACTGTTTCAAAACAATGACAAATTACCTCCGCTATTGACAACTGAAAAAATGTTTGCAATTCCGAGCAGCCTGGTCTTTTGTTCCCAGTACGGTCCTTTGTTACATGGCTCAGCTCCTTTGTCCGATTTCAGGCACCCTAGCAATAGGAACAAACCTAAGGTCTCCGGTTCCGGGCACCCCAGCACGAAGTGGTTCATGCTACGCTTACCCAATATACTCCATATTTGAGAATATGAAGGTCTTCTCGACGTTGAATCCTAGTGAGATGATCTCCTTGGCATTTTCCTTGGATAGCTTCAATGCCTCCTCGGCCTTTAAGTCCTTCCACAGGAACTTTTCATCGTCAGTCAGTTGGATGACAAGAGGCACATCAAACACCTCCTGCAACCACCTTCATTGACAAAGGGGAAAAGATGACAAACTAAATGACAGTTGTTTCTCACAAAAAAGGGAAACCCTGACATGAAACGAAACATTTTAGCAACAAACTATGGGAGCTGAAAAATGTTATCAATGGACAGGTCATTAAAGGTCTATTAAGCAACATCGGGGCAACTTAACATATAGAGCATTACCTTATTCTGCCGTGTTTGAGAATCTTGTGTCTAGGCCTAAATCCAACCAAAGTTAAAGATGTCCAACTTCTTGAAAAATGGACAAGAATCACCAAACTGGCTTTCAGATTGTAAGATCTGGGCTGAAAACCGACTGGAAACACTGGATTTAAACAGTCTGGAAACACGAAGGTCAAAGAGGAGACCAAAAACGTTTCCAAGAAACTGGGTTATGAATGAAAGTAACATATGAAAAGTGAATTTGTCCACTCAACCAATAGCCTCATGTCATTACCAACTTTAGGGAAGTAATTGTGAGGCACCCTCACAACAGTTTATTTTATACTAGTTGCTGAAGGCTGCCAAGTAATGCACTCCTTAATAGCAAGTTTCTAAGATCACGATACGATGAAACCAAACCGGTTAGGTATTAAGGGAGTGGCTTACTTAGTGAAGACAAATGGAATGAGATGTCCAACATGCATTGAGCCGCTCGATGGTCCTCGGCCAGTGTAGAGAAAGAATGGCTTCTTGGCTTCAAACCGGTCTAGTATCTGGTGTACTTCCCTGATTGATGCAATGAAAAGAAACACTGACCACAGAGACATGACAAACTGTCTGGATGTCTGAATAAGCCATTAATTAATAGAATTTAGAAAATGTTCAGTATTCTCAAGGAGTATATATGTGAAAAGGGGATTTATGGTAGGTACTGTTTAGCACAATGTCACACTCCATATATGTGCTTCTGAAAAGAACCCTTAATTTCTTGATTTAAATCTTCATAAATGTTCTAAACAAGTAAGGAAATGTCTGATAATATTCCAAAGCTCAAGATTCTCATGCAAGCAGTAGACAGACGCCAATGCTTACATTAATCTATCACATTTCCTTCTAAGATCTGTAAATGATAGTAAATCTGCAAAAACTCACTTACCTATGTGAGAAGAAGACACCTCGTCTCATAAGGTGGTGAGGTGCGTGACCTGTGACCTTCTCAAACCTATCCAACAATGCCTGGTCAATCTTGGAGCTGCCAAATTTTTCTGTTTATACAGATCCAAAATCAGACTTAGCTGGCTAATGAGCAACATGTAAATCCATCACACCTGCAGGCATATCCCGAACCCAGATGCTATTTTTTGGTGCTTACAGAATGTCTATGCTTCCTAGCTTTACGAAACTGGCCTATAATCCCAAACATACATGATGGAATAATGGAACATGTTGTAAAATCTCTTCTCTCCCCCTGACACTATTAAAAGTCTCTGTGCAATTTGCTGACACAGGACACTGAACTGCTGCTAAATCATTCTTGACACTGACGTTGCAGGGTGGGAATTTTCTACAGTATAGAGAGTTTGCACTGCTGCCATCTTGCAGGCCAGTGCTTTTGTTCCATACGGTATGCACAAAGGAAGTTTCCCAGTGAAACCAAAAAAAAAATGCCCTCCAAGATGGCTACCATAGAAGCCTCTATGTAGATTTATAATTTAAAGCAAAGTGTGGGTTGTTGTAACACTTTGGTCATTATGTTTGCTCTGTGACTTGCAGACACCAAACAAATAAGAAAACTGGGTTTCGTTATTGTGCAACTGTGACAAGAAAGTCATTGCTCACTGCTTCCCTCATGAATATGGAAACTAAAATACAAGTAACCATAAAAACACAAAAAACATTAAAACAAATCACAGTTTCAAAGATTTGATTAACAGCAGTCTAATGCATGGGCTCTTTAAACGAAAACTTCTGACAAGAAGGTTAACAGCTTACATACTAATGTAAAAAATTACTGCGAATGCGGAAACTCTTTAATTATTACTTACTGATAAGTTTGTCATAATCAATGCCTCTGTCCGATGATGCCACAACGGTCCAAGGATCTACTCGGTCATCTTGAATGACTTGTTGATCATCCTTGTTAGACTGGTCTGCAGTCCCATCGTTCAGCTCCATATCGGCCAGCTGAGATGCTGCGTTAGTTTCTGCCATTTACCTGTGTACCTCTGTGGTGGGGACTGAGTATTAGAATATCCCTGTTTTTTGTAGTCATCCATAAAGCTTGTACATCATCATCTTTACATGAGCACTTCATCTTGCAAATTCCAAACAGTGTGGCAAACAGTACAACTGCTTCACAATAAAGAGATGTTACAGGACATACATGTACTTGATGTTTTGACCGTTCACACAAGACAGGTTCATTTGCTAGGTTGTTGAATGACGGTAAAGAGCTGTCATTATCCGAGTTAATGCAGTTCATGTGAGTATGGAAATGAATTTGTCACGAGACTGGTTAGAATTCTACTGAATTATTTCAGTCTCTTATCAATTTCAAAGAAAAGTTCATTTAAATGTAAAAAACTGAACAACCTAGAATGTGGCATAAGTGTGGCACCGTCGTTGCTTTTTGGTGACAAATACACATATTTATCAAATTTCATACATGTGCATGTGATCGATGCTACATTCCGTGCCAGAGATTTTTGGCTCTCAGGGGGTAACACACGCACTTACGCTTTACGATCTCATGCGGTCCACATGTTCCCATTTTGCTAAGTGAAATAAGTTCCTGAATTTACATTCTTTCTAAAAATGTCACCAAATTGTCAAACCCAACTGCAATTGAAAACATATCAGTACATTTGTTGGTCCTTGAACTAATGAAAATTTCTATTACATTTAAGTAAATAATGAGTAGTTTTTCATAAGGACTTTTTACACTGTGATAGATACATGTATAAATTTTCAAAGGGTCGTTTCACTGAACTCCCTACATCAACATGATTAAGTAATGCCAGTGACCATATAGCGTCTATTCCAGCTACAGCCGGGACAGTCCCAACTGTACTGCTGCAGTTGGACTGGCCCAACTTCTGTTGACCAATAGCCGTAGAAAATTTCTCAACCTTATCCAAGTTTATGCATCTCACACTTGACACAATTCATCTAAAATATGGCACTTCAGACAATCGCACATGCTAGCTGGACACATGCACACAGGCTGTAGTTGGGCCAGCCCAACTTTGACACTCTAGTTAGGACGGGGGATAGTTTTGGACTGATGCTGAAGTTGGGGTATAATAGCCGCAAGGTCCCTAATTTCAGCGCCTATTGTCATGATTGTCAAGTCTCGTTCTTTGTCTTGGCAGTATAGGCCCATGGGGCTCCAAGGGACCTGGTGACGATACCATCATCGACATAAGAGTCCTACTCCAAATTGCTCGGACATGTCGGATTAGGAAATGCCTACATGTAGGTGTCATAAGCATTTCTGCAAGTTGTGACCGGGAATTTATTACTCGAGCAAGTTCAATTCATGAACATTCACTTTCATTTCAGTTTCACGATGGATATGATGGAGGAATATCAAATGCGCGAACATCGAGCAGCAAAGTTAGGCCTACCATCATGGTACTACTCCTACCGACATGACCGACTAGCTAGTATTAGAAGTAATGAACAAGGAACAGCCTAACCATGCTAACCAACCGGCAATGACCAGCGACTAAAAAAAAAATTAACAGTGACACTCATAACCTACCTTTTACAGACTTAGCTCATTCCCATACATGTGAAAAAAATGACAACATTCGTCTTTTGCAGTTAACAAACCCTAGCGGTTAGATGATGAAATCAGATGTCACAGTCTGGTCTCACACTCCAGAATACACATCACATGAATACATGCATGACATGTGGCACGGATCACGCTTACTTTTATGTCTGCGCGAGCGAGCGCGAGAGGACAAGTTTAATTAAGTTAAATCGCGCCCTCTAGAGGCTAATAGTTTACATGAATGTAGCTTCGCGTTTCGAAATAGAAAACATCTTTTTCACTTGACTCTGACCATGGGCTAACTAAATGTTCACCTAAATGGTAAAACCTGTTTTTATATGCTGTACATGCATGCGCAGTATATGTTAAAGTTTAGCTCGACAATTCCAGTCTTGTAGCTTCAAACGGCTGAACGGCAGCTTGTGGCTTAATCATGTGCCTGGGCTAATGACTAAAGAAAGTTACGGCTAGGCCTAGGCCGAGTAGTCGGCCCAAGGCCTGTTGCACCAGCTGACTAGGTACACTGACTTTTTAGTCTGTCAATCGCCTCTTTTAACTATTGCTTATTCTGCTACCTCCGTCATGTCCGTACTTACCCACTAGAGTTTAACTATCATGACTAGTAATAAGGTTTGTCCCGGAGCAGGCTATGTACTAACGTTACATGTATTGATACATGTATGACCGAGTATGTGACTGTTTTCTCCGTTGCCTTGCTTGTTATTAACTCATTTTGCCATTTCATTTGGCTATTTAACCCTTTCGCTTGGTCCTTTCATAATTCTATTGGCCATTTCATCATTCTGTTAGGCCATTTCCTGATGTTTTTATTTGGCCATTTCATCATCTGCCATGCCATTTGGCCAATCAGTATTCAGTTTGGTAAAATCTTTATTACCCCAAAGGTAGTGGATATTTTTAGCCGTTAATGGCAAATTTATTTAAACAATGTTTTGCTGGGCACATGCGCAGTAACTTTTTTTGGTCTTAAAAACTCTTACCGTGACAACTATTAGTCTGGTTCTGTGCCAACATACATTATATAGTCGTTGTGACTTTGTACTTACAAGATGGGAATCAGACTATTTTACAATTTTGGACTTTTGCCATTCAAAAAACCTCCAAAGCCACAAATCAGAAAAAAAAAGTAATACTCTGTAGTTAGATTATGGAGTCAATTTAAAAATGACAAAAGAAGATTATCCTTAATTTGGGTGGACCAAAAAAAGGATGTTAGCTGGCCGTAAACTGGGAATCAAACCCAGCTGAGAGTGAATCGTGGCCAATTTTGGTTATTCAGCAGAACAAGCCTTTTGTAAGTTAAATTTGAATAAAATCTTGTACACTGAGTTCTTTAAATTCAGATGAACATAACAACTTGAATCCTCCATACTAAAGACACTGTTGCTATACCTCATGATTCAGGGCAAACTTTTGCTTGGCTATGTAAGAGACGCCTTGCACCAATACACAGTTTTCAATGGATAAGAAGGGCACATACGAACCAGTCCATTCCAGAGATGGTGGTCACTAAGCAAAAGTTTGCACTGTATCACAAGGTATTGCAACAGTGTATTTAGTCTGGGGAATTCAAATTGTTATGTTTATGTACAGTTGGATAACTCGGTGTACCAGATTTTATTCAAATTTTACTCACAAAAGGCTTATTTAGCCTGAGTAAATATGGAGTAACATCAGCAATGGAGCTATGGGGCTCTGTCGTTAAGGCCAAGGGCGAGTAACAAATTATAGTTTCACGCCTAGATTTTTTCTTTAAATTGATGATGGCTTTTTCTCAGTGGCAAATGGATTTTGTGACTTTTGCTGATACTTTTGGGGTCTCAAAGAGTTTTCAGCATCTAACATAATTTAAATTTGCAGTTATATCAAGTGATATACCTCTTGTTCAAAAACAAATGCAAAATCAAACATGTAAATTTTAAAAAGAAACAAAAAAATATGTAAAACAAATTTAAAAGGGGGGCCTCTCCAGCTGAGATGTGATGTCTTCCTGGTTGGATGGATTTTCTTGCATAAAGCTCAGGTTTTTAAGAAGTGTAAGCAGTTGTGTGCTGTATTCCAAAGACACACAGAAGCCATTGGTTCACAGTGGTAGCGAGATTCCAAAGCTAAAAATGTGCAAAAATGAAATCTCTTTCAACATCCAGTGATGGGCAGGGTCTTGAATAGCTTGTCAATGCCAGATTTTCGTTGTCTGTCTTTCACCATCATAAGAAGCAGAACAAAGTTTTAGTCCCAGTGACATGCAGAAGACTAGCTCTTAAGATAGGGAAAGATAAGAGCTTTCATTACTTATCAAATGTGTTTTTCCTTTGGTAGGCACACTGAGTTGTGGCTGTGTCACACCACATTACGATGGTCTTCAAGAAGAGTGAGTACCGCAAACAGTACAGGGACCCCAAATGGGGTGCCCACTTCCCGCACTACCAGGAAAAGGTGGATTACCGTGTCAACCGCCGCCGGCTGGAACACCACCACCAGATCTTGGACTGGGACTGGGACAGTGAGAATGGCAACGGGGAGGACGGAGCAGGGGAAGGGAGGCCTGCGATGGCCCCCAACCGCAGCAACAACAACCAGGTGAGACGGGGACGGAGGGCTGAGGATCGGGAGGTTCAGACTCCGGACTGGTCCAAGATGAGAGATGACCAGCTCCAAGATCAGAATGGAGTGGTCAGTGGAGGGAGGTTGGGCTCCTCCCCTGTGCTAGACAGGAAGCAGATGAAGAAGACTGATGGAGGCCAACGTAAAGGTAGAAGTAATCTCCTCGTAATCGTAACCCATGATACATAAAAGTCAAATGTTGCAATGGATGGCACCTTTTCATTAGCTGTTTTCATTGGAGCATGAAGTGAGCCTTTTGTTTAGTATGCCAGACATTTTTTGTTTTGTTTCCGACTTATAGCTCTGGAGTTATTATTTATGGTTGTCAAAGTGAATGATATGATTTCTTCAGTCAGAAAATCGTTTATTTGCCAGAAAATCATGTCTCTTAGTACTCCACAAATGAAGCATTTTGGTCACTTGCCAAGAGAACCTATCAAGTTTAATACTTTATATGACCATGTCCTCAAAATCGCCTTAAAAATTATCGATGTGAACGTACAGGAAATGATTTTCCTTGGATTGCCACTCTTCATGTTATCGTTGCTCAGACTCCAAATCAGCACAGTCAACACGCAAGCACAAGACTGCCAGTAAACACCCATCCCGAGACAGACGGCAGGTCAGGCCCAGAACTTCCTCAGAGAAGAAGGCTGACACGGGGAGGAGGGGACCAGATCGTCCTCCCATGGTAGCCTACGGCTGGGCAGATGAGGAGCTGACCACAGGATGCAAAAAGACACACAACATCAGGGCCTCTGCAGATGTGAGATTTCTTATTTCCGTTTCATTGTTAATAACATTTGAAACCTTTCTTGCAATAAACTGATCCAGTGGTTGGCCCCGCCTTCTGTGAACATGGGTACTTAACAGGTGTTTTTGTAGCAGACTTCAATCAATGATGCTAATTTGTCACTCTAGTTGTGTGGTATCCCGTACCATTGGTCTGTACTACACTGCAAGTTGCATTGTTTAATAATTATTGACTACTGTGATGTGGGGTATGCTGTTTTAACAGTTGATGGATTCAAGCAATATGGTTTGGACTGTTAGGTGGGGATTAGTTTGTGATACCACAGTATCATACATCACATCCAAAAGCGAGGGTGATATGCATTTTTATCACATGGTCACATAATTGTTCTGGGCCAGTGAAAATACTGTATTTAAGACAGAGTCATGACCATGACAAACAGCTTTTTTCACTTTGAGTGCATTTCATGACTTCATGTTTAACCACCACCACTGTTCATAAGGTAAGAATTTGCCTCCAGCAAGGCTTAGTGCATGTATGGATTTCATTTTTCATGTTTAAAGTGATCAGGCTCATCAAGAAGGATCAAAGTTTCACCTATCAACGATAAATGGAGAAACCTGAAAGGAGTTGCTTGATTCAAAACTTGTCCAAATCTTTTTGTCAGTAGTAGGTGCAGTATTATGACAGACATCTTATCTAGTAGGGCTGAGTCAATTCAAATAATTCACTATTCGAATATTTGACCTTCAATTCAATCAAATATCCTACTTTTCGGTCTTACCGACCTGCAGATTGTTGAAGATTAGACCGTATACAAAATCATTTGCAATAATGCATACAATTGTACATTAGAATCACTATACATGTAATAGCTTCTCACGTCTGGGAGTATCTCCAGCCAGGATTTAGTATGATTTAAGAGACAAACAAAACTTCTTGCCCTGATGAAAATTTCTGCTCCTTTTAAATTTTTTAAATTGAAAAATTAACTTTTTGATAAGTTTTCTGTCGCTTTTCATTTGAATCTGCTTGAAACAAGCCCCCATGGTGCATTTTTTCTCATTAGAAACCAAATAAAATTCTCCTTTTTCCTGAATTTCGTATTAGAATATTTGATAATATTCGGATATTTGGCACAGCCCTGTTATCGAGGTCACTTTGTTCTGACAATTTTAGCATAATGCCTATATAAATTGCTCTTCAGTTGTTCAGTATTTAGGCCATTCATAGTCTGCCTTCTCCCTCCATGTGTAGAAGGTATGAGGTACATGCACCGTGACAGTGGTTTTACTTTTACACAGTGAAGACTTTCCAGTGTCCTGATCAATAAACCAATGGTGAGATCAAGATGGCTTCTTTTGAACAGAAGACAAAGTTTGATCACATACTTACATTTTAAATAGTGTCCATTACTTCCATTCTTGGTATATTGCACAATTGTGACTCCTGGCACCTTGCATTTCTGGGTCTCTCTTATAATTCTCTCTCCACACAATCTGACCTAGCCACTGCAGATCTACCCGTCAGCCCTGCGGGCCATGCGACGCAGGCAGCTCGACATCCAGCAGCGGGCAGAGAGAGACAGACAGCATAGCCTGCGGGAGCGGAGGCTGAAGGCCATGTTCAATGTGCCGCCCCAGGATGACTCAGTGTGGCTGACAGAGTACCAGCGGAACTTTACAGGGCCTTCCCAGCCGAGGTAGCATCTTTTGCATACAGCTGGACAGACTTGTTGTCATACTTTCGTGAATGTAAAGGTATATCATCGCTTTGGATTTAGTTATGCAGTAGTCACATTGGCAGTTTACATAATAGTTGGTCAAAATTCTTACAAACATTTAAGAAGTTTTATTAGAATGCACAATTTGACGATACATCTTTTATTTTATGTTGTTTTAATTGCTGAAAACTTACACTCATTTTACTGGAAGAGATTAAATTAAAAAAAAAAATGGACAAATAGAATGCAAAATTTCTAACCTCTAACTCAATGCATGTTCTGAGACGGTCACCTAGAGAATACAGTCTCTCCTTTTATGCTTCTCCCTGTCAAAGAAGGTTTTGGATTTTCAGAGGCCCACAACCCCTTCAAAAAGAATGGTTCTTGAATAAGAGCTACATGTATGTCAGCCCATCTGCGTAATAGTGAGGAACTGATATCTTGATACCATTACATATAGGATCTTACTCAGTGATTTACAAAACTGCCCAAATGAACTTAGAATTAATTTCAGAAATCTTCGCACAGTCAAGCAGTTGTTTCAGATTTTCAATGATGGTCGAGTGGTTAAGACGTCTGCATTAGTAAACAGGAGGTCGTGGGTTCAAGTCCCACCTGAGTAAGCTTGGGAGTTTTTGCAAGCTCTCGGATAAGCACTGAGCATACAGTGTTTATCATTATATACGTTGGGTAAGGGCAAAACCCGTTATATAAATTATCAGATTTTCAACTCGGATGAAGATGGTTCACTGCCATTACTTGTGGTTGTCCATATACAATTTCATGACGGTCAAAAAGCCCTCTGGGAATTAGATTTTACTTGTCATTTTGAAATATTCACAGAGATGTTGTTTAGGAGTTCTTTGAGAAAGGTTACTTGGAAGTGCATATTTTTCTGACATTTCTGTCGGAGCAATTGCAAAGCTTGGCCTGTGTTGTGTAACTCTGCAAATGAAACATTTGCACTTTTGATGACATTTTATCTAAAGGTAGTTACTTACATTAAATTTTCAACAAAATCCTTGCATCTAGCTCGTCAAATGATTTATAAGCAAGACACAACCTCCTACCCTTTGAATAAAAGACCACAAAAGACCAAAAGATAACACTGCCTTAGTCAAAAGTGCTTGTATGGTTCCATTTAAATTGTTCTAAATCCTCTCCCAGCCAAAAATGGCCTTAGGTGGAAAGATAATTTTGGTACTTTTCTTGTAACACTGAAACCCTCTTACTTGTAGCTTCTGTCACACGTGCTGTGATCTTACTGATTTATGCTTAGTTGTTTCCATTTGTATTTTTAATGATTCTTCATTATTTTTATTAACCGTACAAACTTGTATAAAGCTCAGAAATAACAAGCATTGGGATCTTGTGATGAGGAATGTGTGAAATTCAAGGACGCTACTTACTGTTTGCCTGTGCAGCTGAAAAGAGTGATCAATAAATGTTGCCATAAGAGTAATTCCTTTTTATCTTATTCCCGTTCATGGCAGTAGTGTCTACGTGTAAATATGTACAGTTTTGTACAAACTAGTGTCTTGCTGTGACCTCATGTATTAATTATATTACTTGAACAAAGTACTTATTACTGCACACTAAGCTGCAGTGATGAGTACATTTGGTGAGCAGACATGTGCCAAATGCCATTTCAAAATATGAAGTCACGGTATCCCGTCTACAGGTGTGTATGTATTGCCAGTGTCAGGAATGTGGTTCTGTCCATCACTTGTCCAATTGCATGTCCCTTCACAATTCTAAACATAACTCCTTCCACAGGATGAGTCATAGAGGGGGAATAGTGACGTTTAATGCTTGTGTTACTCCGTTTGAATAGCTTGTGACTTATGATGATGGTCTTGAAGGAACTGACCAATGGAAGTCACTCAGGGGTAGTTTAGAACAGCGCACAATAGACATCAATGCCTAATTGACGGTTTGTCTTAGATGCCTTCACTTATGCTCCATTTGCCAGTTCACTCTCCCCCCATGTTGTGCCTTGTCTAATATTGTGCCACAATTCACTTAGGACCGTTCATAATTTAACATATTATGACAAATTGAAATGGAGATTCTAAAAAGCAATTTGGAGTGAAAGAAATCAGTAATGTTAAACTGGCTTTTCATACCCAGCAAGAAATGAGATAGGGATACCCCCCACATGTCCAATCCCTATACACGCTCTAGACTATTGTTACCTAACACATCCCCCCAAGATGTTTAAAAAGAATTCCTTAGATTCCAGCACAATGACCAACAGCACAAGGGGGGGGTCTCTCCGTCACGTATCTTGCTTCATTTGTGGCTTTTACCCGACACAACAACCCTCACCAAGACATGTTGCAGAAATTTTACAATTCTCTTAGCTTTCTTTCGACATTATTTTAATGTACAATTTATCTGAGCTTTCACAAAGTTCTTATTTTCTAATCTCATGTAGCAAAACCCTTTTCTGTGACATCCACTCCCTATGCACTGAAAAGATTGGACTTAAAACTGACATTCAATACCAAAGGTGACAGTGTGGCATGGTAAAAATATGAGTATTACATTATTTTCATTTACTGAGTAATCATAATCATCGTCATCATTCAGTTAAGATCAGTGCATCTATCAACTTCAAATTATTATTTTATTGTTGCTGTGCCTTTAAAGGTAAGTGCGTTACTGAAATAATTTATAATTTTTAAACGATACACCAAAAAGGGCAAAAAAGGAACAGATTCAACAGCATATCAATCAGTTGAAATATACTGTGTATGGATTAAGCTGCAAGCATGTCGTCGGGAACGCCTCACAATGATTAACTGGTATACATAAATGAACTGATGTGACTTGTCAGCTTGAGGCTCATTCAATACTTTATAAAATATGTCGGCATCTTCAGCATTCTCTGCTAGGAATGTGTACATTCCAGTGGCAATCAAGCCTATCCAATTAATACCAAGCACGTTTCTTCCTTGCACAGTGCACACTGTGACTGATGTCAAACATCCATTTCAGAAGCCTCGCACTTCAAACACAGTGTTAAACCGTGGATTTCAAATGATCAACATCTACTTTCTGTAAAAAAGGTGAATTTTATCATCTCATCTCATCTCATGCAGTTCGACAAGAATGATTTAAATAACCATGTTCTCAGATGATTTCAGTTGTCCCAGATCAAGCAACGGTCAAAATTTCTCCAGTTCATTTTTCACAAGAATACAATATTTTCAGAGGTGCTCTGCATCTACATGTACTAGCTGCAACATCCATTATTACTCCATGCTTGATATTCCAGAAAAAGATGTGCGCATGGGCAAGTGTGTACTCAAAATACAGTATTCCATCTTTTCTTAAAAGCACTCTACCAGTGCACACAACGACACATCACTGCCTTCAAGCACTGAGACTACAGATAACATTAAATGCAGTAACAGTGAAATCTACTTTTACATATACACACAATTTCAAATTTTGCCAGGCAATTCTGCAGCGTTTGACAATGTTATGATATGCTAACTGTCGTTCTGTTAAATTACTTTGATTTGATTAAGTCCACCTCAGGGGCCTGATCTGCAACCACTGCTGAGGAGACAAGAATTTCCATGTCGGGAAACTTTCCAGGAAATACAAACATAGCAAAATGAGAACCTCACCTCTGCAAACATCAAGAGCAAGCAAGTGATCCATTACGTTTAGAACATGAATGGAGGTTTACGAAGATGATTTTGGTGAGGCCAAGCAAGTGAAATTATTAAGGGAGTGAGATAGCATTGAGAATTGCTTATCGGCATGTGATCTAAAAGGACTTGCAGCAAGTCTATGGCTGTGTCCGAAAATGGGCTTCCGGAGCTGTGGCTACATCTATTATCAGCACTGTTCCCATGAATTTACACATGGTTAAAACCTAGCCCAAGAAACAAGATTCTTTGGAGGAGACAAGCACTTTCTAGTTCAGTTGATCATCAAGCAGAGCAAGGAAACAGCTTATACCATCCAAGATGCATTAAGCAATACCAACTCTCTGTCTAACCTAATGGTTATAAATTCCTATCAGCAATGAAACACTGGAAGTGCTGTAAACATCAGCTGTTAAATCAAATGAAGGCATTTTGAAACAAAAGATACTCCGTCAATACTAACATTTATCACAACAGTGTCAATTTTGCAAAATTGCCTAACAATGATTACATTTTTGCAAATAATTATTTCATTTGATATTTACAACATACACAAGTGATGTGAAACTCCAGACAGCGGAGAGGTATAAAAATGAAAAAAACAATTCAAGTAATTGGTGTCAATCATTTCAATGTTAACCACATACAGGTTCCCCAGTCAACGACAAAAAAAAAAAACCATAATAAAACAATAACACTCTTGCACGATTCTGAGTTGGAAAAACAATTCCTCCAGGTAAATGACAAATTTTTCAATAACCCAAAAGCAAAACCAAACATTATGACCCCCCACAAAAAAATCTTGAGTCGAAGAATACTTTTCAACTTTCTTTGCGCAATGACATCTTTCAGATTTTTTGGTAACATATCATATGCTAATAGTTTAACTTAAAGCAAGCATACTACACACAGTACTACAAACACAATCAAAGAGACACCCGACCAATTCTGCCCAGAATGTAGTAATATGACAGGTCTTGTACACGTACTCCTCAATTACAAGCTGTGGGAAGAGGTGACCCCCAACATACCAGCTGTACAAAAATAAGGAAATGGTTTTCACAGAGAAATTTCTGAAAATACTTTAGAAAATGCAAATTGCCTCCATATCCCCGTCATATCATGTTAAAAGTTAGCATGAAGGATAAAGGGCTGGGGCAAAAGAAACTTTTGAGAATGATATCAAAAGTTGAAATTCATCAGAAAAGAAAGGCAAGTTCTGCTTTGTGATTCCAGACCTGAAAAGCAGTAATGCTTCAATGTTTACGAGCTGGTCTGTCAGATGACCTGTGCTCACCACTACTGAACTTAAAATACCCTTTTAAATACTTCGAGTTTCATGAGCATGGTTTTATATCAACCTGACAGGAACAAAGAGTCATAAAATGCCAATTTTACAAAAGAACAGTTTACTTTGTAGTTTATGTGGCTACCAAGTGATGTACTGAATTTCCCATTTTTCTTACACAACAGAAAACTGTCAATCCACAAAGACAACGACTCTGGTGTCTATATTTGGGGTACACTTCAACTGCATTTTCACTAAACCTACCAGTGAACAATATCTGTAGTATACATGTATACACATTCAGACTTTCGATTCAAACTTTAAAAAAAAAGAAAGAAATCCATACGGTCTGCAGAATTGTTAGAATTTGGGTGGCTGCATTAGGACTTTATGGCTACAGCTGCATTTCAGTTCAATTTCTCCTTAACCCAAGGGTGGTGTCCTGTTCCAACTTGGATGCTCTTATGCCAATAAACAGTATGTACCTGCTACGTGATACATGCATGAATTTATGCTCCATTTTGAAATAATTGTTTGTGACAAGTTTTAAGGGCACAAAGGCCGGAATTTGGGACAATTGGTTCACACTGTTCCATACTATTATGGAATAAGTTCGCGGGCATACAATGGTACATGACTCTACTGCAGTTGGTTTCCTTATAACTCTCAGCAAAGGCATTTTACGGCGCTAGACAACTTTCAAGTTCAACAGAAATGGTGTTGAATGCTCTCATCTTCCTAGCACACTTGCTCATTAACTGATGGAAATATTACATGAACAGCAAGTTTTGACCTGTCACGCTAATCCCCAAAACACATACGTGAAATGAAAACAAGTACATCTGGTTCAGTCAGCCCCAGTATTTAAAATATATACAGATCTTGCTGCATAATACAGAGTTTACAATATACGGAGAACTTCATCATACACAATACTCTCAATTAAAAAATCTTGGCGGGGCATATCTATCAGAGACATTTCCCCAAGAGCTGTGGTGGTTCCATTTTAAGATTAAGTTATCACTTGAAAGTGCTGGCAATGCTGTATTCATGGAGTGTGTACAGTTTTAAGCAAACGGCTGGTTGGCCATACTCTACTCAGTGAACCTGGGTTACTGTGAAAGTCCAGGGGTCTGTTTTTTAAGTCAGGACATAAAAATCATCAGAGATGGCTGACTTACATAAACACAGCTTACTCTAGTCACCAGGCATGCAGCATACACATAAACAATGAAAAGAAAGGGAAAAAAAACCTCTAAAGCTGAAAGTACATGTTCCATTGCTTGTGTGCGCCGCCGTGGGTAGAAATCAGGAGAAAATTTCCATTTTGTTAAATCTTGTTATGCCCCTCAATGAAGGTCATCTGCAAAATAAATGCTTTTCCACTTACACAGTTGCCAACGAGAAAGTCTTACTGTGGGCACTCTCCGTATTACATCCAATCTGCCTGGAATATTTTGCATACCATGAATATTCAACAGGCGCATTTGGAGTCGGCACCCGTTGGTGTCCTCGTAACTTTACGGAGTGTTGAATCACCATACTGTATGCCGGAACCCATCCTCTCTGGATCTAGTTCACCTGTAATGGTTTCAATATGCAATGGTATCAGTACATGTCACACCCAGAGCACGTATAACTTCTACTTTCAACATATATAACCTACCATACAAAAACCAGGCTGAAGCCTTCTTAGATATTATCTAGAAAATGACACCAGTACAAACATTAATAGGATCAACTGATGATCGGATTGGACATCGGATCAGGTCGATGTTAAAGTGCCGATGTTGAATTGTAGTTTTGGAAAACACAAATCTCATATTTTTTATTTAGGCATGAATACAAACTGTGTTTTCTCATTTGGTGTGATAAATGAACAGTTATACCATGATTAAACCCAAGTAAAGTATCCCGGAAAATTACACCTGTGCGATCCGTGCCGCAACAACTCAACGCACGGACCGCAGCCCCAAGGAGCAGTCAGTGTGCGAAACACCATGTGTGACACCACATACGAGGTGCAACCGGTCTGAAGAAGCCCGTGATTTAGCCTTTACTCAAGGCACACATGGCTACCTGAACACACAAAGTGCACCTCTGCTACTGTCATGCATGACGAAGACACCAACACAATGGTGCAGTGGTGCAATGTGCACCTTGACTAAAGGCTACAGTGATTCAGCCCGAGGTGCAGTGTGTCTATTCAGCATTTATTGGTCAGTATTAAACTTTATTAATGAAAACTGATGACCATAATAGTAACTGACCACGGCAACCGGCCAGTTTACTCCACCAACAGGAAGGCTGCATGGAGATACATGTAAGTGTGTACACTTCATGTAAAATGATACAGTCCAATGACTTGATACATGCTCTCCATCTTTACCAGGTAACTTTCCTGAACCCCTGGAGGAATCTTACCTGACTCAATCTTGGTGAGTATCGACCTTGCACATTTCAAGAAAGCTTCTTCAACATTCTCTCCAGTCAGAGCACTAGTTTCCAGAAACATCATCTCTGAACAAAGAAGAAATGTACAAGAGAAAACTGCACTCCACTGAGTCTTTACCCCGAATAAAACAGACTATTAAAAGGGTTTTTTTGATTCATACATTTTAGGTCATTGTAGACAGCAAGTAGTTCGCAGCAGTTTTTGTATGTTACAGTTCTTAAAAAAAAGGTTATCGATCAATGCATAAAACAGAAAAGTGACCGTAAGAAATGACAGAGACAATGCCTTACCATTTTCCTGAGCAAACCTGCTGGCCTCGAGGAATGTAACTTCTCTGTCTGCATCCAAATCCTTTTTATTCCCACAGAGAATGATGGCGATGTTATGACTAGCCAATGTCCTTGCATCTGTCAGCCACTTTGTGAGTGCATTATATGTTTCACGGCTGTAAACACAATACACAAACCAAACAAATTTGACCATCTACTAGACCTCGCTCAATGAGATCTAACAGAAATCAACTGATGTTGAATCCTGTTGATATCTGTATACGAAAAGATCTTTTGCATGGGCTATCAATAGATTTGGCAGTCGTCACTCTCCAGCCACTGTTGGATATTACCGAATTGAGCTGACTGAAAGTATAGGTAGGCACTGGGTTTAAAGGTCAAGTGATACGTTATCAAGCATTTTACATTTCCTTTTTCACAATCAACACTGGGGAAGTTATCCAGTCAGTTATCCAGATATTATAACAAAGCTACTTAATTAAAGATGAGTCCATGAGACAAGTTGAGATTCAAAACCTTCGACATATATCTCACAGTCTTGCTTAACAATTCCACAGTAAAAAGATACTAAAATGCATTCCTTTCACACACCTCGTAATGTCATAAACGAGTAACGCCCCAGCTGCACCCCTGTAGTAGCTTCTTGTGACAGACCTGCCAGGAATAATCACATTCAAATTCACTTTCCAAAAACAAGTCAGAACAACACAGTGTAACTTACTTTACATCAATTCAATGTTGGTGAGATTTTTTCTCCCATGACAGAGTAACTTTTTTTCCTCAAACGTAATTGAACAAATAACAACAATGTTTGTTTTCTGTTAGCTTGTTTCTTTTATGACTGTGGTTACTTTTGCTACTTGCAGCTGAAACAGATTTAATTTGGTTGGCTCTTACAGTCAATCTGATAATCAACTTTACAACTATTTCACTCACCGAATGGCAACATTTCCATCCACAATTTATAAGTAATTACATTTTCTAATATACCCATCAACTTTACAAATGATTATTTTTTATTAAATAACTGATCCACCTTGGCGTACCTGAACCGCTCTTGGCCAGCCGTGTCCCATATCTGTAATTTCACCGACTTGCCACCGACGTTGATGATTTTGGAGCCAAACTCAACCCCAATGGTGTGATTTGAATCTTGTTTGACTAGAAAGATGGGGAGGAATCCAAAAAATTTGCAACTAAACACACATAAAGATTAAATGTTTAAAGTGCACAAATAAATACTGATGGCCCCAAAAATTCTATATTTGAATTTCAAGTCTGTTGATGTTTGCAGTTGAAAAGGATGGAGGACCTTCAAGTAAGCCTATTCAATACGTCAATGTGGAACAGTCGTTTGGGAATGAAAATGTTACACCCCAACTAAAGCAGAAGTCCCAACTATAGTTGGGACAGTGCCAACTGTAGTGCTGCAGTTGGGCTGGCCCAACTATTGTTGACCAATGTCTGAGGGAAATGTCTTAACATTATCCAAGTCAATGTGTCTCACACTTGACACAATTCATCTAAAATGTGGCACTTCATCTATTCATCTAGCCCTATGACCAATGACATGACATTTGTAAACAATACGACTTTGTCACATGCTGGGCACATCATGCTCACAGGACTTCTCTGCGGTAGTTAGGCCAGTCAACTGTAGCACTCTAGTTAGGATAGGGCGAACTTTAGTTGGGACTGATGCTATAGTTGGGGCGTCAACACTTGATATCACACCAACTCAACCTTGTTCAGTGTGTTTGAGTTGCTGTGTGGCTGTACAAATAGGGCTGATCTTGATTCTCACACGCATGTATTGATTATCCTAAATGATCTTTAATGATTATCCTAAATGACCTTCATGTATAGCACACTTCATTTTGTGCATGCTCTACAGGAATATAGAATTGGCTTTAATATGAAATAGTCCTTCAGGCAGATTTTTTAAAGCAGATTATACTTACATTTGCTTTCAATAAACTGATGAAGAATGCATGATTTGCCTGTGCCAGCACTTCCAATAACGAGGAACTTGAATAAGAAATCTGTGACAGAAAACAAAACACACCAAAAAGCAGACTTTAAAAAAAAAGGCAAAAAGTTCAGAAAACAGTCATTAATTTACAAGAATGACTAAAGAGTGCAGATTACCAGCCAAACACATAAAAAAAGTTTGAAATCTACTTCAATGATACCCCTTGTCATATTACATAGGTCAGGTGTAACAGGAACAGAAAAATAGTTCACACATTGGACTGCAATTTGTAGAAGGGTTCATTTGTAGACACCCTCAACTCTCAGCCACAAAGTGTGTTCCCAAACACACTTTTCCAAAACTTCCTCAGTGCACCACACAGCAGGATAGAAACCACGCCCCTCCCCGAACACTTTTGGTTTGTACACATTTATTTCAGATGAGACAAAACATTACTGGGCCCATTTTGGTGCAGTGTCCCGGGTTGGCTGTTGTGGGGCCCACCAGTACAACTTACAAGCCTGTCTATTTTGCTGCTTCACCTTGATCACTGCTTGGCAAAATGTGCTATTTCTGAGAATCTACATTCTTAATAATTCTTTTCAAAAATACATGCAGAAGTTGTGGCCATGTGGCGAAGGGCCAAGGATACGGTAGACTGGCCCAGGTCGTGCTAGTTTGGGGCTAATGACCATGCACACCGTACGTTCGTGAGTGTGACGTACGTACGTCAACGCAAAAACCAATTTCAACAACCACATGGACAACTTCCTGAAAAGGAAAATCGCCAAGATTTACTTGAAGTATTCAAGCCAACTTCGAAGTTCGATGGAAAGATTTTGTATATATGCTACTTTACCGTACGACTCTGACATTCTCGGAGTGTTTTCCAAGCAAACACGGCGAAAGAAATACACAGAAATGCGTACGCCCGTCAATTTTCCAAAATGGCGTGTGCAATTCTATTTCACTAATCCCAAACTGAAAAAAGATATTTTAAATTTTATCCGTTTATTTTGTATTTAAAAAATTATTATAGTAATAATTAATTTTTAAAAGAATAAAAAACAAATAATATTATTTTCTAAGACAAAAACTCTTGATATTTAAAATAATATTCAGTATAAGGATGGGATTGACCAGTTGACCTTTCAAGATTTTTATTTTTAACATTTGGAAATGACGTCGGGGAATAGTGATGACGCATCGTTGGGGGTGTCCTTCTGAATAAGTTATGTCGCTTTATTTACGAAACCAGCTGATGTCCGTGACGTGGAGCGAATGATGTGTAGGCTGCACATGCAATAAAAGTTACTGCACACCTACGGATGTAGTATCCGGCCGCACAGGAATCGACGCGATCGAAAGGAGTCTTCTTTATTGCTTTAGCTGGATTTGTACACGTGGTGAAGGACACATAGTGCGAAGTCACACATTATAAATAAAGTGATCAGTAACTAAATTCATTGCAGTTCAAAAGGCCCGCACCGCAACCAGTAATTTCACAACTGAACCAAGTTGATCTATTCGTACCTTTTGGTCCTAAGGAGGATTTTTGTCAGACTGGGTATTAACCGTCTCTCTCTCTCTCCATTCTTCTTGGGAAAAAGTTTTCATTTCCATTTTGGAGTCGAGTTAAAACAACAGTGGAAAAAACACCAGTTAAGTCGAATTGTAGTTATTGACGATGGGACATCTCTTCGCAAAATTGAGAAGTGCTCTTTCTGAGCTTGCTGGGGTCAGCGGTCCTCCAATGCGCATTCTCATGCTTGGACTCGATGCCGCAGGTAAGATCTTATTTATCAATTAATTGGTTGTTATCCTTTGCAAATCAAGGCATTGCTGCATTTGACTGGTAAGAAATAGGTTCTCTTAAGCAGAGGACCACAAAATTCCTAACAATCTCGTAAGTTACATAAATGTGTCGAATACTCACATTTTTAGTGCTTGGCCTATGGTAATGATACAACAATGTTAGTATTACTGGCAAGGGAATTAGATCATAATTTAGCCGTAAAAGTTTAGTTTCAAGAAGAGCAGGGCCTTCTTGTTAGGACAGAATAGCATATTCCTAAAATTGCAATTAAGAATGTACTCACTCTTGTTTTACCGTTTTTATTTTTCGGTCTTAGGTAAGACAACAATTTTGTTCAAGCTGAAACTGAACGAGGTTGTGACTACGATTCCAACCATCGGTTTCAACGTGGAGACAGTCAGTCCACTACCCGGGGTTACCTTCACCGTGTGGGATGTTGGAGGCCAGGAGAGGCTCAGGCAACTGTGGAGACACTATTACCAAGGAACACAAGGTATTAGGTTGACATTGCGTGAAGAAAAACACAGTCAATTTTGAGCCTCCCGGGTGGCTGTGCATTTTTAAGAACCATTTCGGAAAAGTATTTATTCTCTCGTCGTCATAGAAAATTATGTTTATAAATCAACAAATTCTCCAATCAAGATGTTTTAGTGTTTCAAATGTAAGTGTGCCAGCATATGGATATTTATTCAGGAATTTTACGGTTGGGAATAGCTAGGACAAAAAGGGGAAGACTAATCCATAGAGGGCCTAATTAATTGATTGGTTATTTGAAGGATGATTTTTTAAAATCTTCCATGATCTGTACATTTCAGCTAACCCAATAAATACCAAAGCCCGCCTTCAAGTCTTTTTTTGTGTGTGCTGGTCTTCTCCGTCAGGTTTGATCTTTGTAGTTGACAGTAGCGACAAAGAGCGTTTGTTTGAGGCCCGTGACGAGTTATTCGGCATCCTGAAGAACCCAGAGATCGGCCCCGAAGTGCCAGTGGTAGTCTTCGCCAATAAACAAGACCTACCTGGTAATTGAAATGAAGGCGTGATCTTTTGAGAAGGCACCACAAATTTGTGTGTTTTAGATTGATCGTGAATGCATGTTACAAGCGTACATTTGCAGATAATCGCCTGGGCCGACAAGTCTTGGATTCCAACGTGGAAGTTTCATTGTCATCCACGAAAAGAAAGGAGAGAATCTGCATAAATCTGTATAATATATTATCATTATCCAATACGACGCAATGTTTTGCGGAGTTTTGGTCCTCGGAATTATTTCTGCTCGTTTTTGGGAAAGTATGGTAAATTTTGCCTTAATTTCATCAACCTAGTACTACTGCATGCACTCCTCTCACGCGTCGTTGTAAATGGAATTTTGCTGATAGAAAGGCACAAAGTTTGAATCATTTGAGAGCCTCACTTCCCTCAAATGCACGCAAAACAACACTGGCAACTTCGAAATGAAAAATGACAGAAAAGGTAATAATGAGCGTGAGAATGAGAGTTATTGCTCTTGAACTGAACCACTGGTTATGTCGTCAAAACAAGGCGTGTTTGGATGTAAATCATACACTTTTCATTTCTTTCATATGGCTCCCCCAGTTCAGGTGAAGGACTGTAATTACTAATTACCAATGTTTTAAAACGTTTTTATTCTGATCTCTTGGATAATTCCACACTACCACTATTTCACTCCAAATCTTCTCTCTTCTCAGGCGCTCTCCGGGCATCTGACATCGCCGAAGCTCTGAACTTGAACCGCCTGTCTAAAACCCCCTGGCACATTCAGGGGACCTGCGCTACGAACGGAGACGGCATCTACGAGTCCGTGGAGATGCTGGTCAAGATGGTCCGGGAGAGTAGGAAGGCAGGGGACCGGCGATGAATGAACTACGATGGCTCACAGAGTCTCTGACAGAGGGAAATCTCATGAACAGGGGGGACCCAGTGACATCCCAAAGATCCCACATACGTTTCAATTAATGTTCATTGATATGACATTTAAACTGATCGAGCTGATGACTGGCAAGCCGGATTAACCCTACAACGAGTAGAAGTAAAAAAAAAAAGCTAAGCACCTCTGTGCCGAGACTTCATTGGTTTGAGAAATAACGCCCTTTTAAACCAATTTGAACGAAAGTAAGAAAGCCGTTCAGGGGCGCTAGCAAAGCTGGCAAAGCAATGTTTGATGTTTTCAGTTTAGTTGTTAGTTTTATAGGCATCCGGTATTTTTCCAGGGTTGTTTTTCTTCCCACGAAGGGAAGGCAATAACTCGAATCAAGCATATTGCTACAGAATCATTCGAACGATCTGTCTGCTATACAGATTGGAATGTAGAACTTTTATGAGAGATTTTGCATAGACCTATCCTTAACTGGGTGCAGAGTTTGCAATCTTGTATCAATAAAACTTTCATCATTCGATGAATTTTAATTCAAACAATCAATTCTGTCCCGAACAACGCCAAAACTATGCGGTATCGTTTTTGTCAATTTCAATAATTATACAGGAAAATATTTGCGAAATTCGCAAGTTTTCTATCGGAGTTTCAGTATTCGAAGAAAATGTATATATATATAAAAAATTTTGTTAACAGAAATATTTTTAAATAAATCAGTTATGTATATAACGGTGTTTTCAGATGAAATGTTTAGTTTTAGATACATTTTTATTATACATAGCGTTTTATGCATTTAAAATATTTATATAGTGAACTAGCTGTATTTTCCTACTGTATGGTGAAAATAAAACTGAACTGAACACTTACTTTGCTGTTAATTATTTGAAACATTATTTGAAATGATGACTTACATACTGTAAGACGCGGCTGGTCTTCCTTCCGTATCTGACGGGCAAACAATATACTCTCAGTCCTCTTCTCTTGCCTATTTTTCTCTCCAGTTCATTGTTTAGTTTATTCGTTGACTTGTTTTTAGGTAAAGCTAGGATTTCACTACATGTGAAAAGCTTCGAATTGCTGTAAAAATATTGGAATTTTCATGCAGTTTCCGCATTAGGCAAAAATCGACGAGACGTCAAACGAACATTGACAAACAAAATAAAAACAAAGTTTGGAAGTGTCATATGAACAGGAGGCGATGTAACGTTTGAAAGTAGTTTTAGAGAACGAATTTGGGAACATTTTGTTGTCTTTCTGGACCTTGAAGGGAATAGGACAAAATGTACTATTTGATCATATTGGGTTCATTTGGATAATTAGATCTTTGATTACTTGGACAATCCGTTCATTATCCCACTTTGAGATAATACCTGATTTCAAATGATCTCCGTAAAACTGCCCTCATCGGTAGACGACGAGAAGAGGCATCAAATGTATGAACAAAAATACATTTACTTATACATGGTAATTACAAATTATATAATTTCGCATCTGAAATGAAGTTTATTATACATTTTAGTGTCTTTTTGTAGCTGTCAAACCCGACTGGGTCTGCCAAATCGTTCTCTCTTTGTATATTATTTAAAACGACGTAGTGACAGTGTGATCTTTAGAGACGGCACTAAAATGTTTGTCTTTTAGATTGATTGTGAATACATGTTACAAGCATATATTTTGTGCGCGAAGGGCACTGCGCTGTAAAGTCAAGTTAGCTTCCAACGTGGAAGTTTCATCGTCATCCACGAAAAGGGAGAAAATCTACATAAATCCGTGTAATTATATCAGCGTTACCCAATACGAGGCAATGTTTTGCGGAAGTTGCCTTGGCAGTGTTCTCATTCACAACCATGATTGGCTACGGTCACCAACCGACCGTCCAGGATTGATACGTCCGAAGTTCCACGTGTACCGTTTCAAGTCGTCACAGTTTTGGTTGACGGGCAATTATGATAGAGTACTTAAACGCACGGAAAATGGTGAATCTGTCATAACTTACGAGCACTTCAAGCAACTGAGTAAAAAAGCAACTAGGACGCATATTTCACCCGGTAACTGGTTGGAGGAACGTCGTAGTGATATTTCATCTGAACACAGAAAGCAATTATGGGGTTGTTTCTGTCCAGACTAACTAGTGCTCTTCAGGATTTTGTGTCGGGAGGCGCTCCCTGTCGAATCTTAATGCTTGGACTTGACGCTGCCGGTAAGATTCCCATTTCCCCACCACTTTTTTTCAAGAGGCGTGTCAAAAAGGTTGTTAATTATTAGCATTTGTCAAGTAAGAATCGTGCATGTGATGCTTTGTGTTTTTAAAAGTAAGACATATTGAAAAAATTGAAACAAAAATGAATTCAACTTCGAAATATCACAAAAGAAAGCACGCGACAGCATTTCAACTCGTCATCTTAAGCCTAAGCTTGTCAGAATGCCGAGATCTGTAGACATGTGTTGGACGTTTTCCTTCAGGGTGGAATGTGTAAACTCTGAATAAGTCGAACTTGGCATAATTCATCACTTTTAGAGATATAGATATAGATATCGATATCGTAACATGATTCGTCATTTCTAATTATGTCTCGCCTCTACCTCTTTTCCAAAGAGGAAATCATCAACCGCAATTTATTTAGAAAACAACGAGTGCGGCACGTCCACTGACCACGATCTATAAACTTGCTATAAATTTTCCCACTTGAAAAGATTTGGTAATTTTATTGTTCACACAGATGCAAATAGCGTTGTAGAATCACTACTAGAAAGTGTCATGTGAGCGTATGTGATCACTTTGAGTTTTGTTCTTTTTTCTCTCATGAGGCAAAACAACCATTCTGTACAAGCTGAAACTGAACGAGACGGTGACGACCGTTCCAACCATCGGTTTCAATGTGGAGACGGTATCCCCAGCCCCAGGTCTGACCTTCACCGTGTGGGATGTGGGGGGTCAAGACAAGATCCGAGCACTCTGGGAGCACTACTTCCGAGGCACTGAAGGTCTGTCAGTCCATTTCCTCCGTTTCTCATTTTGATTTTACACCAGTCCGCGTAGGTTCATAGGGAGAATTTAGAGTCAGGTGCTTCCTGAGGCATGGCGCAGATTAATGTAAATTGTAAATTCTTTATCATGACGGACCAATATTTACATCAAACACAATCCCCTGAGGCATCCATTTTAGTGTTGTTTTATGATTCACTACATTCCTTTGATTTTGAACCCCAATAATGGAAGTAAAAAAGATCCTCTCCACATTCCTGTCAAACAACAGCACAAACCTTATGATAGCCCAATGCAAAAAATCCAGGCACAGTTACATTGTGAGAGTTAATTTGTTCACTATTTTTGTTTCCCCGAAAAAGGGACTAATAAAAGAAATAGAAACACGATATTTTCATATCAAGAAGACATTGCTAAATAGAAAAAAATATGTGCAGTCCCATTTTTTAAAAACTCACCCCTTACCAATATGGTAAGTGTACAGCCTGCTAGTTTCTATCCCTAGTTAATTATTAGATTTTTTTGAATCGCTTCTTTTTCCACCACAGGTGTGGTGTTTGCTGTAGATAGTTCCGATTCCAGCCGATTCGATGAGGCTCGAGAGGAGCTGTTCCGAGTGTTGCAGGATGATAACATGTTCTCCGGAGTGCCAGTAGTTGTCATGGCCAACAAACAAGATTTACCAAGTATGTGAGCCCAAATAACATCTTGAAATGGCGACCTCCAACCATCACCACCATTACATTCACAAATATTCCAAGATAACTATGATCCCATGTGGTGCTGTATGATGACAAATAGCGGAGGAAAACTAAAATCAAATCGGAAACCTCCTACACTGCAAAAACTTGGGTGTTAAATTTAACACCCGCAGTGTTATCAGAAGACTACACCAACACTTTTCACTGGTGTTAAAATTTTGGTGTTATTTGGTATTACTTGTAACACCTTCTAGTTCACTGTAACACTTATAGGTGTGCAAAGTAACATCATCAGTGTTCAAGTAACAAACTATGGTGTGGGCATCTGATAACACCCAAAAGTGTTGATTTTTAACACCCGACTTTTTACAGTGTATTGTTAAGTCTACGGCACTGCAAAACTGTGGCGTTAAATTAACACGTCCCATAGTCCTATAGCACGGGTGCCGAGGGTGTAAAATTTACACCATACACCACTATCCTTGCGAGCGGAGGACATGTGAATTCGAACCTCACTCTACTAACATCCAAATATCCCAAGCATGAATTTGTTTCATTTGTGGGCAATTAGTTGCATGAGCAAAGGAATATAGATGGGTATTTAATAATAAGTATCAACGTGATAAGATGACTTGTCGAACTCAAACCCTATTGAGATGTATTTAATTTTGTAAAGATAAGTGCCTCAACCAGTCTCTTATGTTTGACGCCTCCAAAAGCCTTACAACTTGCAAAGAGATTTTCCAGGTTGGACTTACGTTCCATCTTGGTTTTTCAAAGCAACAAATCCCATCGTAAATTCTCTCCCCTGCTATGTGATCCATGGAAGAGGAACATCTCTATCACAACTTGTTTCCCTTTCCTTTGCAGCCGCTGCGAGCCCCTCAAAACTCTGCGATGCCCTGCATCTGCGCAGTCTGCCCAGGCATAATCCTTGGCACATCCAAGGGACGTGCGCCACCAACGGCGATGGTATACTGGAAGCGATGACAGCTTTGGGCAAGATGGTCAAACAGTTTAAGAAGGACCACCGGCATTAGAATACCATCTCGTTCAAACATTTCAAATGAAAAAAAATGCAGGAATAAGGGAGAAATAACGCATTCTTGCAGCTTATCATTGCATACTGTGCATGATAGAGGAAAGGTTAAGTGTTTGTAACAGGGAAAACCTAAAAGATGCAATGGCTTCGAATAAGAAACAGTTCCTATGCAAGTCAATAGTCATCACGTCAGGTTTAAGATATTTTTCAATGTGTATATTAGTTGACATGTCTTTCTGAGCACGAGATCTCTTTATTATCAATGTCTTTAAACCTAGTGTTTTAAAAGTCAACTTGTATCGATTTTGAAATGATTTCATAAGCTATGATGAGTGATTTTTAAAGTTCTCTCCTCACCCTCACTTCTCCTGAGAGCTAAACCTGTGCGGTCACCCTTGCTTGTTTGTGGGAATACATGCTGTGTGAATACATTCTGTCAATGAATGATGACGTCAACAACCCATCATGTTTCTGAATTTTAATAATCCTACACTTGCGCTCAGCTCATTTTACCATCGGTTGAAACTTAAATTACAGAAAAAGATACATAATTAAGGATATTGTCTAAAGAGGATTAATAATACATTTTGTGACATAATGTAAAGCTAAAAAGCAACATGTTCATTTTATTTCTATATTTTGTACATATTTTCCTATTAATGAAAAAGTAAGAAACAATAGATACTGTGATATGTATTCGCTAAGTGATTTCAGTGTACAGTTCATAGCTTCTACAATGTTCCTGTATTGTTGAAATTCAATGAGGGGATCGTTTATAATAAAACAGCAAATCGATAGCTCTTTAATACATAAATAAACTGTGACGTTTACTTGGCAAAGTACGAATAATTAGAAATGGCGTTCTCCGAATTCGAAAACTGCTTTTGTGGGTTCCAATGAATCAGGATACGCCTCATTGAATGCATCCTAAATTTCTTCATCATATATCGGACTTGGGGGAAGTGTAATAAGACCGCGACGTCAAACACATGTCATGCAATGCAAGTAAATTGAATACTCATCCCAAAGTGAAACATTGGGTGAAAGAACTTTTCAAACTTTTTCAGGTTATCCATATTGGCAAAATTACGTGTAGTTTTAAATAAACAATCTCTACACTGTAGAAATAACTGGTTTGCGTGCTGGGGTTTCGTTTTAAAAACTCCCGAGTGATCCGGAAGCCGTGTCCCGTTGAGCTTGACCTATTTCATTGTCAACAGATGACTCTTTTCAGGTCAAATTGAAGCAGAAAAAGGTCCAGATGACCAAGAAAATGGCCATTTTTTTTTTTTACATCGGAATGGTCAGGCCTAACAGGACACAGATTTCGGGTGAATCCGCGGAGTTTTCATAGTGTATGAGATAAGGGAAGTTCCCTTGCCACTTATTCAGTGAATTGCCACAAGAAGCATGGTTTGAATATTGGCCCATGCATGCACTACAATCATGACTGCAGTCGTTTTAAAGGAGATATTCAGTCCGATTTTAAGGGTAGTTTTTGTACTTTTGGGACTCTAGTATGATAAGCAAAGCGTGACGCCATTCCAGCAAGAAGCTTTCCCTGTAAAACGTTTTCAGCACTAAGATTTTCAACAATGAGAATGTTGATTTGTGACTAACCAGACAAAGACGTCAAATGGTATTCATGTGCATTTTTTGTCACACTTGTGACTGCCTTTTGCCACATTTGTGACTGCACTTTATTGTATTACACAAATTCACATGGCGACAAACCAAAATGCTAACTTGCATAACATAAAGTGATGTGGAAATATCAAGTCAGGCTCAAGGAAGCTTCAGAGGAAACCAATGCATACGTATTGTTTGCTTTCGTTAGAATTTCCACGTGTCCCGGATGTCCGTATATCAGACTCGGAGGGGCCTAACACGTGACAAAGGCAGCATTAAACGTCGATCGTGCACAGCTTGGACCCATAGACTGAATATTTCGTGTCGACTGTAAGCACTGAGGGGATCACTGAACTGCAATGGGCTCATTTCTTTCAAAAAGGATAAGGAACATCCCTAAGGCTGTTTCTCGAGTCACATTCATTATCGGATCATGTTTAGTGGGCTAGATGCATGCATCTGGTATGTCCAGCTATGCTATGTGAATCATTTAGGCATGCAGCTTGTACTTTTTAAAAAAGAGGAAATTCCAATCTTTACAATACTGTACAATGTTTTCGATTTTCAATGGCATCAGTGTGAAGTGAAAAAGGAGGAATTCACCTGATCCACAGAAAATTCACATGCCTTGTTATTATGCACAAGCTAAAGGCGTTGCCATACGAATCTGTGCGTGATTTTGAGCGTGATCATTATGATGGTTTAGTCTTGATGCCAGACGCTATTGTTTGAAACAGATGACAGTGAAAGAGGAAGAGGTCGGTATCACACACGAACGACGGCTAGATCGCAAACCAACTGCAAGCGGGCGGATTGATGGACTTGAGCCAAGACCAGCTGCCGTCGCACGGTCTCAATGCTCAAAGTAACGTCTTTCTTACCAACTTTCTTCTCTGTCTCATTTTTCCCCGCTTTTTGTTCGATATTTGTGTGACGGTTACATGGGGGGCGTTGCCACCTTGACGTGGTCGGCCCGCTCAACTTTTAAATTTAGGATAGGAAATTGCTAAGTGATCACAAATTAATCAAAGAATAATACATGGACTCAGTACAGCATGATGTCCGGCGATTGCATTCCAAATTAGATTTAATTATTCCATCCAACAATTATCATATGACAGGGCCTATGACAATTGACAATAAAGAGATAAGTGTGTTTGTTATGAGATTCTTCATGGGTTGAGACCAAGTTGGATTCCTAAGGGATTTTTACATTTAGTTTTAATAAGTTCCCAAGGGCATTGTGCAGGCCCACCCCTCTCCTCAGAGTAAATGTTATGTGCCAACACAACTCGATTGGAGAGAGACAGAATCGCACGTACGTCATGGCGAAGTACATGTACGGCGCAAAAGTGTCAAAAGTTGTATAAAAATATAACCATTGAACTAATCCAGTTTTATACATATATAAATTATGCAATATGACTCATCATAAACAACTGATCGTTCCACATCCCATCGAGCTCCATAAATACTGGTTACAATCATGACTGGGTGGGAACTACTTGTGACTATTCGGATGGCTACTTAACTAAGAACATAACTTGAGATTAGACTTAATTCAATTCGGTCCATCACATTTGGGTTGCATTTCTATGTTTTGGCAGTAAAAAAGACTTAAAGATAATAGGCCTACCTTCAAAGTAAGGGGTTTAAAAATCACTCAGGCTGATATATGTTGAGGCCACTGACGGAGAAACCGAATGATTAGCGAAAAAAACACACTTACACGACAAGTCCTCCATCACCGAATAAATATATGCTGAATTACGATATTTTAAAATCAATTTCAGGGAAAACAACTGTTTTGTACAGGTTGAAGCTCAATGAAACGATGACAACGATCCCAACGGTCGGCTTCAATGTGCAAACGGTGCATCCGACGCCAGGACTGACCTTTGACATGTTGGATGTTGGGGGGGGTGAAACTGTTGTCGCCCTCTATAAACGCTCAGGTTGGGTTCCTTCTTCATCTTACATACAGGCCTACAACTGGCCCAGCAGCCTATCCAGCTTTTGATGGGGGGGGGGGCACATTCAAACGCGAATGCGGCTTCGGGCTCGTCCAACATGATGATGGGGGATGAAAAAATCAACAGCCTTGCTTTTATTGCTGTGTTGCTTTCTTAGGATTTTGGTGCTAATATTTCATAAATATATATATATATATATATATTGATTACTCTTTTCCTAATCACCCACGAAGTATCATTTGTAAAAAAAAAAAAAACAATAATAAATCGCTCTGCCCCCCGGATACGCCACTGAACCAGCTTCAATTTATGTTATTCTTCCTGCTGTAAGCTACATTTCGGCACTTGAACCACAAAATGAAATTATTTTTTTTTTCATTGAGGTGCAGTATTAATTTATTGTGTATTGGTGCAGCAATAAATCTATCACGTATCATGTGTTCCCGTAATGATTTATGCAGGCTGCATTGCAACGTGCACGCAAGTAGTTTTAGGGGTGTACTTTACGACCGAGGACAATGCGCGTCCATATCCACTTTTGCTCATAAAGCGCTGCTGTTGTTTTTTTTTCATCAGGTTTTATGCTGGTGGTGGACAGCACCGATCACGAGCGGTTTACCGAGGTACAGGAAGAGTTAGTCACGACCCTGAACGATTCTCACCTTAGAGTGCTGGTGGTCATTCTGGCCAACAAGCAAGACTTACTGGGTAAGCCTTAAAATCCCATGATGTCCTGCACGAAGAGAGTTGTGACCAAACCACCTTGGACCTACAGACCTCTTATTTCCTTTAAAAAATGCGTTTGCATTTTGCCATAGAAGAAGCTTGTGTTCTTATTTTTGGCGTTAAAAACATGTTAAGTTTTTGTGACTCATTTTAACCCCCCCCACAACTGACATACGCGCAAGGGCGCTGACGAGACAAGTACCCCAAACGAAACGAGTTACCCCAATGCCTGCATGAGCTTAATGTGATATATTTATTTAAGCAATAATTTCCACCTCAAGTTTAGATAAGTTGCTGGAATAGATAACATTTTTGTCTCTCCTACTGTTATTCTCTTTCAAGATGTGATCAGCCCCTCAAACCTTTGCGATGCTCTCCAACTGCAAGATCTTCCCAAGGGTCATCCTTGGCAGATCCACGCCACGATTGCCACCAAAGGTGACGGAATGCAAGAAGCAATTGTCACTCTCAGGTAGATGGTGAAAAAATTCAAGAAAGACTATCCTCACCATGATTCACTTCCTATCCCGTGATTTCTGAAGGTTCCAGGTGCTTGTAAATTCGAATATTTCTTAATTAGGCCTACTACATCATCGGACATTAACTTGTACATTGCAGTTGTGTATAATCCATAAAATTAATGAACTTTGTTCTATTTTCACTATTTACAATATTTCACATCTCACATCACTGCGTTCAACGTTAAGGCCTACAGCTTGGGGATTAAAGGTGATTAATGTGAATTCCTCACTGTTTAATGGCGAGTCGTACAATCTCCAGTCAAGACACAAGCAATTCAACTGTAAGTGTAGCGTGCTTATAGCTTTGTACTGCGTCATGTTCCATCCTTACATGAGTTGATTATGTTAAACATGAATAACACAAACTACATATAGTGGTTCTGTGTTCAGTTTATTATTATCTTTTGCAACTATCCACGCATTAGGGTGTCGCTAACTGTTTCCTCCACTCGGTTTGTCATGGGGGGGCTAGCATGTGCCTTAATGCATGCGTGAAATCCTAACGTACTCGTATAAAGACCGACACAATCGAATGTTTTCTTGATTAAAACACTTCCGGGCACTCATACCTTTGCAAATCAATGAATTTCAAAAAGTCCTCTGGAATTCCTGAAGTAGCATTTACACATATGTGGAGGCATAATGAAGAGTTAATACTTCCGGAAAGTATACTTTTCTAATTTAACAATAAAAAAACTTTGCATTTTTAGATATCTGTGAGTACTGTCGAGGGGTAAGTTAAGGTTTTACTGTACATTTTGGAAATTGTCTGCCTAAATTTTTAAACAGTCAAACTAAATTTGCTAAATGACTAGCCTCAGTGAAATAAAAAATGGAGACTGACCTTCAGCCGAAAACGCAAACCAAATAATGCTCGTTTCTCACGTTATTGTTGTAATAACATTTGACTTTTACATCATTTTGATATACGATGACGAAATATTCAAGGACGAAATGGTAATTAAACATCTCTTCAATGAATAATGGAAGTTCTAATGTGTGACAACTGTTGAAGGGCAAAGATTCCAGTCTGCAATATAGGAATAATGTAGTTTTCTCTTAAACTTCTATCCGTTGAGAATTCAAAAGGAGAATTTTGCATTTTCTTTTCTTTTCTTTCTTTTTGGTCAGTACAAAAATTTCGTCAGTATGGTTCAATTGATCATTATTGCCCATCCCGAAGGCGCAAATTAGGGGAGGTTCTACCTTAAATGGAATTAGGCTGGTATAGTCTCTTGAGTTGGTGTCTAGATTGAGCTGACTCGTATATGACCCCATTCTCCCGGATCTAAGCCCTTGCAACAGATGTAAGTAAGGACATTATCGTGATTGAACTGCACACGCTTTATTTGTTCACACATACATGTACATTGTACAGTCTGACACAAGACATACAATCGCAACAAAGACCTAACTCTAAGACTTTATTTTCTGCTGTTTTACTTATTGGTGAAATGAGCTAAAATATGTAGCTTTGATTTAATTATCAGCCAACCATCGGGGTGTGCCCTTAGTCGTATGAGCATGAGCTTAATACAGCGGCCCTATTTTGTAAGAAAAGGCCGCACATCGGTTAAATTGGCAAACCTACATGCAAACCCGACCCACGGGTCCAGATCCTGATATGGATCCAGCTTCATGCCCAGGTACACACTGGTAAGCGAGAACACCAGGGTGGGCTTTATCCACGACCCGTTGATTTCCAGCAATTTGATGTGGTCGAAGATTTCTTTGAGTGTCTGACTGTCTCTCCCTTCAATCCCGTCGTCCCACTTCTGTAGGATGCAGTCCTTGAGGTAGGTCCACAGAGAGCTGACGTCCAATCCCCCGACTGCCACGATCGGTTCCACGAAGAACATAAACCTGTGCAACCAGGTGTGGGATGCCCAAACCGTCAGGCTCCGCCCTTCGACGTCATGATGCTTCCTGATCTCCGGAAGGGTGGCAAAAGTGAACGGTATTAGAAACACCATCCCCAAGGTAGCAAGCGAGACCGTTACTGTCATCCACATGCCGACAAAGTATTGGAAGTCATGAAACCCCAACCGCAGTCGCCTGATAGTTTTTTTGATATCTTCTAGGCCTACCTCCATATTTTGCTGGCACGCTTGCTCGGCAACACTCTGAAATTCTCGGCGGTGCGAGAGCTTTAGGCTGTGGACCACGAAGCAGAAGATTCCATAATAGATCATTCCAACGATGCCAGCTATTAACCTTAAGATTGCCAGTGGATCTTGGGGGCAGTTAGTGCTACCGTATTCGTGCAAGAACACAATAAACCTCAGCATTATGCAGATAATTGGCACAACCATAAAGCCGAGGAAGCGCCACCACAGGCCCCCAAATCCTTGTTCGGATCGGCACTGCAGGTAGCGCGTTGAGAACACAGCCATGTCAACATGCGGTGAGCAGCACAGCCTCAGTTGTACTGAGATGCAAAGTAGCAAGACAAGTGCCAAATGAGGCAGGTTTGTCAGGTAGGATATGAAGAACACTGTGTCGTGCGTCTTGCCGAGGTAATTCAGCAATATGTCACCGAGATCGTTGATGCTTATCCCCAAGACTATTGTTACTATTAAGGAGAATACCAACTTGACGAAGCCTGTAAGGTGGGAGGGAGCAAAAACAAAAGAGCTTACGTTTAGTTTCATTTTTCACCTCCCACACCCGCTGGATTGACGCCACTGTTCAGGTCCTCAATCTCTTGCAAGAAGTGAGTTGCATGTACATGTCTTTTTAAAGATATCAATCTTGATAACGCAACGCCTTCACTGAGTGACCTAAATAAATCTTAACTGAAAAAGAAAGAAAAATTGTGCAAAACAGCTTCCCTTAGAATTGGTTAATGTTTATTTAATTATAATTATTATTATTTTAGTTTTGGTGTGGAGTGGGGAGTGTAGGGGCGAATGCTTTTTCTCGTTGCAATAAGAACGACCATTGGGCATTAGAAACAAATTAATGATTAATTGAGTGATCTAATATATAGTAGCGTATAATTTCCTTATAACTATAGCTTTTTCCAGCCAAAATCATCATCTTCACATACGAATTAGTGACGGTTTCATTCAAATTAGCACGAAATAGATTAACGATCTAGATCACCATTCAAAGAGCAAAACTGATCATTCAATTTCATTCTAAGGGCATGAGATTTCACAGTCTTGTTATTCAAAACTGATGGGTCAGCTTTCAATTTGAAAAAAAACACACAAAAAGCATTCAAATTCGCGCAGACACTCCCGCGCTATGTGTTTTGGCATTCAAATTCGTGAATCGGCGGGCATTTGTGAGATTCGTGCAGTGTTATTTATTAAACGTTAATCTTCTAATTTGTTTTTTTCTGTGTAACTAATTTATGCAAAATATTTCATGAAAGGAAACGTTTAGTTCACGGGTAGAGATCTCTGCAAAGTAAGATTCTTTATATCACTCAAATGAACAAAGTGGGCAAATGTCTAAAAAGGATTACAAAAACAGAATAAAACATGAAAGCAAAAATGTTAAACTTCAAGCTGTGATAAAAAAAGAGAAAATAAGCCATTGTTTAAGGGAACCCAAAAATCTTAGTTTTCATGCACATTTCGGAGGGTGTGTTTCTTGTGTATAAAGTAAAGAAATTAAAAATCAATAAACTACATCTTAAGGATTTTGCTTTCGGCATCCGTGATGAAGGTCCAAGGAGAGTTTCATTTCTACATTTTGATTAAACGGGCAAATGTACTGTATTCTTGATGTGCAATTTGTTTGAGGTATATAAAAATATACACGTACATTCAAGTCAGTGCGTGGGACACACTTCTAGCGTTTTTTCTATTTATAACCCCCCCTTGTGTTCTATACGCTTCTTAATTTGCTGTGTATTCCTGTTGCCTTGAGGTTTTCCATTTTGAAGGCTCAAAATACGAACACGATTGCCTATAGACGAATACGAAACTAAAATTCGGGAGGAAATTTTCATTCCAGTCATCCAACGCGAAATCGAATGAATGAAAAAGAAACGTGGGAGCAGCCGGCTTCATAAATTCGTTGGAATACGAATAAACAATACTGAATTTGACTGATAAGATGACGAATTCAGCCGGGAAAACCTATATTTGTTCTTTCCTTCATTTTTTAGTGGAATTTTACATTTTGTGTGTTTTTCCAAATCCACTGCCGACTCTTCAGTTTTTGAATAACAAGATTGTGCAATCGCATACTTTTAGAAAGAAATTAAATGCTCTGTTTTGCTCTCTGAATGGTGATCTAGATCGTCAATCTATTTCGTGATAATTTAAATGAACCCATCGCTAATTCGTGTGCGAAGATGGTGAATTCGGCTGGGAAAACCTATATTAAATGTCTAGTAAAAAGACAGCATGCCTAAGATTAAATATACCAATCTCGCCCTTCAATGGTCTCACCAGACCTGCTGTGCTGACACATCGCTTCGATATTCACTAAGTTTTGGAACACTCTTAATAACACATCAGTTAAAATAACCTACATGTACGTCTATGTGGATAGAAATGTGTTGAACCCGATCAGTTGGTGGACACATAGCTACCAATTATCATTTTTTTCAATCATTTTTGCTTGCTTTAACCAAGCTGTGTTTATAGTGAAGCTTATTTAGTCACCTGAATTCGCAATCTATATTTCTTAGACTCTGCTTTTTTTTTTAAATCTTAGACTAGGGACTGATTAGGGACTGACCAAGCTGTATTTGATAATTTCGCCATGTTGAACTTTCCAAAAAATCGGCAGTTTTGATATTTTTTCTAAGTACCACGCCCATTATTTATGAACAAGTTATAATTATGCGGAATATGGAGCATGGGATAGCGTGCCTGTGGTGATGAGTCACTCAACCTGTTTGAGTATGAAGCGCAGGAATATTGCATCCCTTTGGCCACAAGAACTGGAGAGTCCAATGCTATCTCTTCCCAGTATATAGATGCGCCTTCAGTAAACACAAAAACTCAGGACAAAAATCAATCAAACCTTTTAAAATCGGTCATCAGTTCGACACAGTTCATCATTATGTATTCCTCTTCCATTACAGCGGGTTAATAGCCAGTGCTGCTTTGCCTTGGAAAACACGCAATGGCATGAAATGACAATTTTTTTTAGGGACAGAGTCAAGGTCCCGCCACATCCTTAGCTGCAACAATATAGAAGAATCGGTACTTACACGGAATAATCATCCCCTTCTCCCGATGGCGACAAATGCTGCAAGGGGGAAGTGCTGGCCAAAGCCCCAGCAGAACCAGACATATTCGCAGTAACATGTTCGCAGGTGCGTTCTCCCTGGGAGGGTCGTCTCGGTGTTCGTTTAGTCTGGCATTCTCTCCCAGTTCAAACGAATCCAACCGCCTGTTTTTGTCCTTACAGCAGCAGGAACCCATGATGTCTCCTCTCCGAGTCGCGCTTTCCAAGATCTCTTTGGACGTCCTAGGATGGGTGTGACAGAAGGTCTCTCACGCTACGAACTAACCAGGGGCAGATTATTACTAGGCCTATATTGACTCCCAAGCACCCCTCTTGATCCGCTCCTAACAAACATCATGTGACAAATACCTGACTTCATTCTACAAGACTGAATAAGCTCATCCTGAATTATCATAATGGCATTATTATAATAGCACGCCGTTCATTATGGAAGTCAGCCCCCACCCCACCCCCCAATATAATAAATCAATAAAATATAAGCAAACACGAGTATTGAATACAGTTTAAAATAACGACACTAGTGCTCAATTTTTATGTCTTCTTTATACTGTTTTAAGGCCTGGTGAAGGTAAATGCAAATGAGCATCAACACGGGGAATCCCACTATGACAAAGTTGATTATGTATCAGCTACATACATCATATTATGCTTTTCAACAGAGGGCGCCAAAAGAGTGTCTTTTCCAGAGCTGGGATTCTTTCCCCAATAGCCTACCTCGCTGCGGTCTTTCGTGTCTGACATACGGACGTCATATGGTCTGACATCGAAACTTCCCCTACAAAACCAGTAAAAACAAACTCAAAGACCCCTCGCAGCTGGTACTCGGTGCCTGTTACCTTTGACGTGGCAAGAAACAACTGAAAACGTGAAGTTCAGTCCCTATATTGGCCCATTATTGACCGGACTGTTCATAACTAAATGTTCAGAACAGTAACACAAAATACCGACACACATACAGATGTACTACAGACACTGGGAGTCTTGTAGAAGAAACGACAACTGGATTTGGGGGAGTTCCAAAATTCTTCCGGCATCGTTTGCACGCAGGTTGGAAAACTTGAAAGGTTCGTTTGATGATTTGCGCACTAAATATCTTCCAATTTAGCCTAATTATAAATATAACATATCACCTATTGTGGTTCCATTTAAAAATAAAGGAAGGACACTGAAGGAGTTTGAACTGCCCGGGCTATAATATCTGGCCGCTTTCTGGCATACCCGTTATGTCCATAGGCAGAGGGAAGTGAATGCTTGCTACGCACCACCTGTTTCACGACCACAACCCTCTATGTACCTTATGATCGTCGCCGCAAGTTTTCGCTGGTAATCTGCATCCTTAAAACGTTGCGTACTGCAGTATAGGAAGCTGAAAATTCATGCCATCGTTGGTGCTTGGTATGATCTGACAACATCAAATTCAATGCTTCAATTGCGCAGTTGCTTGTATTAGGCCGTGTGCCCAAGCGTTCATGTGCAGTCGTTGCCCTCGTCGAACTTTTCTTCTGGGGTTGTTTTTGGGAATAAATTTCCAAGTTGTTTATGAAATATTGTGTTTTAGTTGAATCAAGTTATTACGGCATTTATACAAAAAAGTATTTGGTGAGATCCCATGATCACTCCTTTTGATGAAATAGCGCATTTTGTTTGTTATGAACTTAACTGTCCAGTGGTGGTCAACATGTTGTTGGCCAGTCTTAGCCAAATTAGCACAAAGACTTTGAAAACTGATGTTTTGGAGTGACAAAATAAAATTACAAACATTGCATGGATAATGGCAAAGTGCATCACAATCTTTTTATAAGGGCAAACGTAAATCTAATGTTAAATATTTCTATTTCCTGGTCACGGTAAGTTGTAGTTAATTGCAAAGAAAACACCACAAATATTGCTACGATATTACTGGCCCCACTTGTCCAGCTAAGTTGTAGGCAGTAATCAGGCATTTTTGGAAAGTTTACTGTTGTTCGTCTGACTGGACGACGGTGATCATCGAGCACTTCGATGTGCCAGAGTTGTAACTCCTTCTGCGTCCTTCCTCCATGATTTAAATGAGAATGCATTTCCCACTTTATGCAGCTCGTCTTGGATCATTGTGTAAAAAAAAGAGGGCGCTAGCACCGACCTCCTTGATTCATCACCTAAAGGCGCCTTTCCCCGCGTTTGCGGGTCAACACTTGCGCCAAGCTCCCGGAGCGATTTTGAAGGCCAAACGCAACGTACACGCGTGTAATGAGGTTGATGTTTGTGTCTGTGAAATGAACAGCCATTTTGGTTCCAAAGTCTGAAGTTGGCGCTATATGTGCAATTATGAAATATATCAGAGACGAATAACCTAAAAGGTTCTTAAGGTTTTCCGGGAAATAATATTTTTAACCCCGAATTTTTAGTGTTCATGTAGTGAGAACAAGCTAGACTCATTACCCAAGTCCATGCAGTGCGTCAAGACGAATTTCGGTTTGCCAAAATTTTTCGTTTCTTTTATGAAGAGCAATTTGAGGATTACAAGCTAAATCTATCAAGTTTCCCCTCCCAAATGTTTGTTAGTGGTCATTCCCTTTTCTCGGATCTGCCAATGCTGTCGTATACTAACAACTATGCTTTGGCCCGAAACCGGACGGCCCCTCTTTCTCGCCCCTATGTTGATTTTCCCCAGAGATTAAAATGGCCATGTCCAAATGACTTGGCTGTGACTTGAAATTACAAACGAGACTACGATTGTGGCCACCAAGCTGCAGCCCAGTAATTCCGACACAACTTATAAGAAAACATGGCTTTGGAGACAATTGGAACTGAAAGTCTCACCTCTCGTTTCCGGACTGTTATTATTTTAATAGTAAATGGTACCAGTGAGCAGTGGCGTGCCCAGTACGTGGGTGGGGGTGGGGGGGGGGGCTAGGATTTTTCAGGAAACAGACTGTCAAGTTTTTATTCGTTAAAGAATGCTCATCTCTCCTAGAAAGGCTTAATACCATTTCTGAAATACTGGCGCTTTCGATTCTAAAACGGCAAGTCGGGGGGGGGGGAGGAGACTCGCCGCCCTGGATACAGCGCTGCCAGTATGGAGATTTTGTGTTGTAACTTTTTCTCCTCTGTCATTTTGTTTATATTTTTGTTGTCAGTTGTTTCGGTTGAAACTTGGAAACAAGCTGACAAAATCTGACCTCTCGTAATGTCATCAAAACATTTCTTAACATACGCCTCCAGTACTGAGTAGTTCGCGCTAACAATGGTCACGCCCAGTGACATCGCATTTTTCTACAAGTTCAAAAACAATGCATTTGAGTGAGATGACGGAAACGAGGTGTACGGATGTTAAGGTTTGTGGAATCCTTCACAGTCAACAATTAACTGGAAACATCCCTTGGTCTTTTGTTTAACCTTGGAAACATGACTCATCAGATGCAAGGATATAGTATGGTACAATAATAGGCCTCCAATGCAGTAGCGTGACCCCCCCCCCCAGCAAAAGTGCCCAACAATGGAAATTCGAAAAATGGGAGAGGGATTGCTAGGCCCCATGTACATACACTTACAGTCCTTAACCTTACAACAAAACGGCGGAAGCTTTTGTACTTTTTCTCCCAGTACTTTGACATGCATCAATGTACTGTACAAGTACATGTACAGTCATCTATCCTATATAATGTTTTGGTTATTCGGAAGTTCGAAAAATACCTCGAAATCTGCCCCTTTTTCTCCCGATGGGAAGGTGGGGGATGATCCAATAAATAGCCCATTCCTTGATCAGAAAGTGTTTGGGGGATATACCCGTCACTCCTCAGGATTTGGGCCCCTTCGATGATTGTCTAACCATGGTCTAACTTTTGTGGTCTCGGCCGGCAATCAAGCGGTGAAATAGTGGTTCCAATTTACAGTTGTGCTAAGTGCAGTGTAGATGGTGCTGGAGACTGGAGGTGATGTGTTAACACGAACTGCAAGCTGGAAATAGTCAGCGGGATACGAAGACATTATCATATGTATCACAGATCACGTTCGTTTCACACGCAGCTCAGCTAGTAGACCGTCACAACACGCAACGGATCCGATAGTGACGTGTATTACGGATTTGGGACATTGCGAAAGCCTGGGCCCAGCATTTCTACCCCGCCCGTTTTGCCCAAATTATCACCAGCGATGAGCTATAAAATGGAAGAGAGTATCGATGTGTCGTGATTTTAGTATCATCGTTTTTAACAACGGAACCGGCCGTATATTCATTACTGATTTGTGAGTGAAAAACCGGCAATGGACTGTGGCTAGTGGTGCACTGCATGCGGAAGTATCTCAGGCACACTGTTCATCCAAACAAGCTACACACGCGGTACGCTGCGGTGTTGCGACTGAACACGTAACCAGCTGGTCAAAGCTTGCTCGGCACCAAATGCATTGATTTCTACTCGAATAGTAACAGCCACTCTTCCCGCGGGATTTTTGAGGCTGGATCCCGCAGACCAAGCCAAGAAAAGTCAGCTTGTGCGACTGTGAATTGCACGATGCACCGTGGGAAAACGAAAACTTCGAAGGTGATTCTAGTGTTTCTGCTCGCCTAAGCTCCACTGGCAAATCGGATAGTTGAGTAAAGTTTGGCCGGAGATTTCACTAGGAAAGAAGTAATCATCTTCACTCGAGAGAATTATCTGATTCATCTGTCTCCAGGTTATAATATAGGCCACCTCGCAGTCAGCAGACATCATGGGGGCGAAGTCGACCAAGATGGGCCATGTTATGGGCAAACTCTCGGACTTCCTACACGTAGATTGCCGTTTCTCCATGAGCGGGGACAAGGAATCGCGCATTCTCATCCTAGGTCTCGATGCGGCCGGTAAGTAGCCTAGGCATTAAAAGGCTCCTCCTTACAGTGTCACGATGCCTGACTCACAGTGTCTTGAGTTCAAGTGACAGCTGGCTCAGGAATGTGTTTAAGAAATCTCAGACGGCCTTGAGTAATGCCAGACAAATCTGCGACATTGCTGGGTTATACCATGGCCTCCATAGTTATACTGTACTGTTTTATTGGTTTTTTTTCTTAGATTAGCTAGAACTTTTGATCTTGTTAAATGCAGATCTCTTGTTCAGTTTATCCACTTTGCTCGTCTCAAAAACAAACAAGTGAGAGGTTTAAATGTCATTAAATCCAGGGCAATGTAATATGTTGCTGCGAAGCAAATTTTAACCGAGGTTGTTATTCATGCTGAATATATTATAAAAACTCCCTCAAATGGAATTGCTTTTACTGTTGTGCATTGTGTTGGACATGTTTGGTACGTTATGTCCAGCTATTCATCAGATGTTATTGTGACTTAAATTCCAATCTAAATTTCGAGGTTGCTCGATGTGTTGTTCAAAATTTTCCTCTTTGAAAAAATTGCAGGATAAATCGACCACCTCCGCAATGTTGGTCGGATTCTGTGAAAGAATATTCAAGGACTCTATGTCACCTGCGAGTCTGGCCAGGCATAACGATCTAAACCGAGGATTTCCGAAACCTGTTTTTCCCTAGGACGCGGTCTGGCTCAACACTCTGTAAATCGACCCTCGGATATATTGACATTTCCTCCAATTACATGTGTTGAGAAGGAAGACAACGGTCCTACCACAAACTGAAAACACTCTCCGTTTGCTTGCTTGCAAGCATGCACTTTAATCACTCTGATCGCGTCACTTCCCAATGCTATTCCTCGAAATATACTTGAAAGGGAAATGCAGTAGAGTTGTCGTTCAAAGTCACGATGTTTTTAAGCAACTACTAGGATTTGCAGAAGGCTAAACGTTGATTTTCTGTTTGTTTCCTTGTTTCACGGCCACCTTCATGAAATCTTCGTGACGTATACAACTTATTTTTATCGATAACAAGCAGTGCTCCCCTGCACTTTTATAGCAGCAGTCAGTATTCTGTTCTTTTCCCTTTTATGTTTATCTCTGACCCTGTCTGACACCAGTCTTTTTGTGCACACGCTCGAATCCACAGAATGGCACGATGCAAGATTTGTCGTTTCAAATCGTTGACAATACGGTTTACCCAATAATACACGGTCGTATCGTAAATTATGGAATGCTTTCATGGCCATATGATAAATGTAAGTTGTGGTAGCTTTTAGCTTTTTTCCCGTAATTTTTTTCCCTCACGACGTCCACTTTACGCACAGTCTCTTTTTGGGTCAGAGACTATTATCAGAGCCCTTTTGATCAAGGTCATTAAAACGGATATGACGAGGTCCTTCGTGAGAAATTGATGATGGTCAGGAAGAACAGGCTTGACAAACGTCTATTCGCGCGGGCTTACCCCACAAACGCCGAGCGTTGCACTGTGGACAATGGTCAGCAAGAAGACGTTTGTCGGGAAGACTGCCCACATTTTTTTTTCATTCTCTAATTACCGAGGCTTCCTCCGTGCTCTAACCAACGGGAAGTGATGACGGGATAACGAATGGAATTTTACTCACTCGAGTTCATCTGGAATATGTGCAGAGAGATGTGGCGGCTCGTGTGTACATGTATTCAAATGCGTACGTGTTGTACCAGAATATTTCAGGCACGAGGGGTTACGTCTTATGAAGAACCCGTTTCTTTGCTTGAGTGATTCATGTTTTCGTTCAGGAAGGCAACATTTTTTCCCAAAGCAAACCTGCAGCCCCTCATATGTCAGCCAGTCTTTACCACATTTTGAATGTGTCAAAGATACTCAGTGCATCTATCGAATACAAATAAATTCCCCAAACCCGCACATAATGAGGCGTTATGAGGGAACGATCAACCTTCTCCTCGGATGCACGGCGCTCGGAGCGAACCCACGTTTCGCCGCTCTGACCTCGGTCCGTCCCACGAGACGCGCAGTGTAGACAAGCTGGCCTGAGGGAAACCTAGCGCTAGCTAGTCATGACTCATCCTGGTCTTATTGAAGGTGATAGCAATGAACTGTGTCTCCCTTTAAGATCTTGCAATCGGATCGGTTCAGGCTCATACAACAGGAGTGGCAGAGCCGAACGGGCGATGATGCAAATACACGGCAACGGTGTCACAGTCCGTTGCCCATTTCACCCACTTCATCTTCCTTAATACCCGAGTGTACTTGTTTGCATCACCATCATATTGGCAGCATGCAAAGCCAGTGGCTTAATGAGCTAACACCCGACAGTTCAACCATGGAGCTATAAAAAAGCTTTTTTTCACAGCTCCGTGGCTCAACAGACCCAACCGTGCGCGTGTATCATCATGTCAACTCATCGTCCATTCATGACGGGTTGAATTCATCGTTGACACGAATACTGCAATCGGGGTACAAAATTGGTTTATGAAGGCATTTTGAATGGTATTATCTTCATTCTATCACCAAGAGGATTGTAATTAGATTAGTATGTGTAGAACCATGCTTGTTTACAAAGCTAGCGGTCTCCGTCGATACGTTTGCTGTATTGCAGTACGGGTCAATATCCGAATGCTTTTGGTTTGTTTTCGGTCACTTTTCACATAACGCTGAAAATTCAAAATACTATACAAAAGTACAGCGGTCATACAATTTACAAATTAACCATTGCCTTGAACCAGGATTTGATGAACATGTTATTGGCTTTTATTTAGTCTTTAAAAGTGAGATTTAATGGGGGCCTACTTGCCGTTCTTTAAAGTCTCTCTGCACAAAGAGGCTCGAATTGTACGAAAATTAACTCTACCAATAATTTTATGAAAGCAAAGGATCACTTCCCCGGTAGTGTTAGGAATTTCATGCTAGCTATCTGTTGGACGTATAAATCACGGTAAAGTATGCCAGGTTTGTCTGAAATGCGCCTAATGTGCCCACTGTGACGTAGTCATTCCTAAAAGGTAAACAGTTCACCGCAATGGACGGCAAAGTTAAATATGGTGAAAAATGACAGTCGGTGGCTTAAAATAGAAGCATGGGGCTATGGGTTGTCGACAGCTGAAATAGGAGGTACCGTGAATGTGTGTTCAGTGGCACGAACAAGACTTTCATTGTGGAATGCTTGAATACCGCAGGCCGCTGGCGTGACTGCTGTTCTTCAATTTTGGTCAAGGCGTACACCTTGAAAGTGTAAATAACAAACATGGAAGATTGCAGCGGTCTTTCCTTTCTACTCAGGGGCCTGTCCTGTAATGGCGGAAATGAACTACTGTACTCAATATCTGACCTATGAGCAATGTGTTCATAGTACAGGGGTAGGTCTGATTGGGTTTATTCTGTTGTATGATTAATTTTTTGCAGCGTTGTTCGTTCAACTTACATCGACATTTTCCTGATATCCTAGAAATATCAAGCGCACCCAGAGGGTACTCCTAACTTCCTAAACGTATTTCGACGTTGGCTCTGTTTTTAGCAATTCAAATACATTTTTTCACACGAATCATGTAAGCCCCACACACAATTTTAAAGTGAATAATTCGTCTCGTTAAACGACGTTTTTAATCACACATCCAAAGACACAAAACGTGGCCTCTTATCGATCAACAAACCGGTTACTGACTTGCAAACCAACTTAGAGACCAACCCATCAACAATTAATCAGTCGACAAATTTGTCGACTATTAAATTAACTGACACTGACACACTTTTAATCAACTTTATCAACCCATGTTACCCCCAGGAAAGACGACTATCCTGTATCGCGTCAAACTGGGAGAGGCGGTCACCACTATCCCCACCATAGGCTTCAACGTGGAAACAGTCACTCCCGTGCCCAACGTCACCCTTTGTGTGTGGGATGTTGGCGGACAGCAGAAGGTGCGAGCGCTATGGCAACATTACTTCTGTGAGACTCACGGTGGGTAAACCAATTGGAATTTTCTTTAGGGAAATCTAATCGAAGAGGTGGTAGTTCCTTTAATAAATTGTTTATCTGCTGAATACAGCTTACAGGAAGATAACTTGGAAGGAAAGTGCTTGGTAAGTGCGAGGAACACGGTTGACAGCATTGGAAGTAATCGTTCATCGCGTTTAAAACGGGTAGGCTTGCTTGCCTAATCAGCTCTTGGTGATTAATCATCTTTCATGCTTTTCTGATTTTTTTCAAAGGCTTTCTCAGTCGATCTTATTATTTACTTATTTTGGTTACAAATTAAACCATAACTTTATACCAGTAAGCAGGCCTATATATCTTTTTTCCACAAAGCGACGTTTCACGATTTAGGCCTATCTCAAAAGAAACTCACTCATTGAAAAAGTAAAGGATTTTTTTGGGGGGGTGTTGGGTTGAACATTGATTTTTATCACACGTTGCAATTCAACGGGCACGCACCACATGCTGCAAGTGACAACAACCAGATGCTTCCGCCATTGTGATTAACTGTGATAAAATATGACTCCAAAAATATGGCAAAACCGAACTGCCAGCTTGGAGAATGATTCTAGAAACTAAAACAGGGTCTGAAGTTGCATATTAAATGGATCAGTGGGTAAATTAAATCGACAGTCTGTACGTGCGTAGTGAAATCCTTTAGTTTTTGATTTGCGCATATCCGGTAGCGTTAACATATGGATGGCTCACTGGCTGTGAGGTGAACCGAATCATCCATAAGGTAGAAAAAAATTTCTATAAAAGATGTCGTCTTAACAGGATGTTTGAACTGCTAATCGGTCTCTAGCGAGTTTCAGTATTGTACAATTCTAAAACCAACTCCCGATCTTCGCAGATTGCAAGTAGGCCTACGATGTGCAAAGTACATTGTACTGCAGAACTTCAGCCTCATGGTCGGGGAAACTGAAGGAACCTGCGTTGATCATAGGCACTATAAGCAAGGCCACTAGCTGAACACATTTAAAACATTGGAACAAATTTCACTTTACTGTGCAGGAAGTTGGAACACAGCGCAATCTTAAAGTCCTCAAGTTGATTGCTCCAACACACAGCAACGAGGAAAAAAAAACATGTTGAGTTTCATACATGTATCTGTATTACTATTGGATGTAAACTCGATAGACATGTTGAAAAACAATGCCAAGCATGTATTAGGTTCAAAGACGTAAATCTCGCAGTATTTCGATTAAGTAGCGTTGAAAAAAATCAGTGGTTTCATAAATAGCGCGCTTTTCTTAATTTTTTTAAAAAAATCGTCACTATATAAATGATAACAAAATTCTCTTGACTTGTTTTTCACGCAGTAGGATTTATTTACAAATTTAAAAAGAAAGCGAAAAGGTCCGCTGCTCTGTTTACAAATAGACAGAAAACCTCTATTTAGTTTTGTTTCATTCAGTGCTCCCTTCTGCAACTTTGGAGTTGTAAGATTCTAGCGGAACTCTTCCCACCGCTTGTGTAGTCAGTCGGTAATCTTTTAACCCAGTTTACGCCGAAAGGCTCACTTATCATGTCATGCACCATCCGTCTTAAGTACATCAATTTTGACAAGATGCAGGAAGCATGATTTATCTTAGGTTCGCGCATGTCACCGTGACTCAGCGCCAAGTGCAGATGCGGTTACATTCTCTGCATGTCTTACTCTCACCAAATATTGGTACAGCGAAAGGTCGACTGTAATTTGGTCCTTCAAGTTCATATTCGTGTAAATCATAGATACCAAAAATGTAACTTGTTTATGAGGATCTTCCTTTCGTTCGTGTCACAACATGTGGTTTGCCCAACAAGACGCCACTTGTCGCCATTGTATGAAACATGTCTGACCGTAATTTTCCTGCACGCCTATAGCTTCAGCCACCATGTCTGTTTTCTTGAATCTAAATTTGTTTCAGTTGTGGAGACCCACATGTACATGTACATGTACATGTACATGATGTACAGTGACATGGGGGGCTGTCGCAGTTTTAAGTACGGTTTCATTGGCTTTATAGGCACCAGAGTTCATAACGTTCAGACTTGATGGACCCTTTGATTGCAAAAACTATATTATAGCAATGATAAGGAGCCAGTCCCAGTACATCTATCCTCTAAGAAGCACTTTAATACATGAAGTCACTGTATTCAAAGGAATGGGAACGTTTCCTTTTATTTATGTGAAGTATTTTACTCCATAAGTAATGCTGAATAGAAATGAAGAGAACTGAGTTTGGATCACTGTGAAAAAAATAATCAGTCAGTTAGTCCAGCTCTATGTCTAAAATGACCAATTTAAATTAGTCAGACAGGCCAGGACTAAGTTCGTCAAAGATAAGTCAAGTTTGACCAAAGTCAGCCACTGTTGACTTAACTGTAGTCCTATCTTAAGTAAGTCATCGAGACCCGACTTACCTATATCATGGAGGAAGGACACAGAAGGAGTTTCAACTCCAGCACTCAATGAACATCGCCGCCCGGTCAGACAAACAATAGTAAACATTCATGAGATGCCCGATTACTGCCTGCAGCTTAGCCGTAAAAGTGGGTCCAGTAATATCCTCGCAACATTTTATGTTTTTTTTTGCAGTTAACTACAACTTATTACCTTGAAATAGAAATAGCAAAAAATCTCTAACATTAGATCTACTTTCGCCATCGGGAATACATTTTTATTTTGATTCACTGTTCCATTATCCATGCAATGTTTCTAATTTTATTTTGTCTCTCTAAAACATCAGTTTTCAAAGTCTTTTTACTAATTTGGCTGAGACTGGCCACCAACATGTTGACCACCACATAAATAATGCGCTATTTCATCACAAGGAGTAATCATGAGATCTCATAAAATACCTTTTTATATAAATGCTGTAATAAAACAATGACTCAGAGAAAACACAGTATCTTACAAATAACTTGGCTATTTATTCCCAAAATAACTCCAGAAGAAAGCGTTCGATGAGGGCAACGACTGCACATGAAGACTCAGGGCCCATAACCCAATACAAGCAACTGTTGTCAGATCATACCAAGCACCAACGATGACATGAATATTCAACTCAATATACTGCGGTACACAACGTTAATTAAGCATGTCAACATGTTAACGATGCAGATTACCAGCGAAAAACTGCGACGATGATTGTGAAACAGGTGGTACTGCGCTCTGGCTATGGACACGGTTGGTCCGGGCAGTTCAAACTCCTTCTGTGCCCTTCCTCCATGCCTAGTATTTTAGATTAATTTTTGAGCACACATGACTAACTTTTTTACATTGATGGAACATGTATGTCCACTTTCAACCAGTTTCAATTGAAGCTTGGTCATCACTAGTATTCATTAATATCGATATCCAGCTATGCGTCTGTTTTGCTTCCAAAATCTGAGGTGCAAGCCAGCGATTAAATTTATTAGCATTTCGTATTCGAAAGTTCCAATTTAAACTCCTCGTGTTGTCAGTTTTACATTCTGCAGCGTGGTCCGTGCATGGACCAGGAACCAGTTTCAATGCATATACATGTATTTATCAGAGAGTATTTGAGGAAATGAAATCAAAATAGCAATGTATTTTAATGGCAGTGATAGGATTACGGTTATCGATGGTTTTCAAAAGTAAATTTGGAGGAAGGGGGAAATTGATTATTGACGACAGGCGATGGGACGCAGCAATTTTTTTTTTGGTTTGAAAGACTAACGGCTTAACAAGGAAAGTTTATGACCACGCTTCAAATGAGTAAGCTTTCCTGGAGTGGCCTTAACATTTTCGAGTTGCACACAAGCGTTTCATATGACTCACAATCCTTGGCAATGTCGGAAAAAACCACAGGCCTTAATTGAAAAATAAACCGATACATGTACACCAAAACAAAATGCAAGCCAAATTATGTCATGTAACTCACAGCCAACCGTACGGCTGACGGAGCCAGAACAGGAACTGAACTGTCTTGCGGTTCAGCCCAAAATATATAAACCATTTCCGTGTTCCTCGTACAGTATTTTACCCCTTTACCGACAGTATGAAATATTCAACTGGAAATACAGTTCACTGAGTCTGCTTGCATAGGTCATGATTTACATCGATTTTTGCAGTACATAAAAGGCAGACTTGACATATCGTTATCGCACCGTTAGAAAACAACTTGTGTTCAACCAAAACATGTATACCTTACATCAAGCTTGCATGCCAGTGAAACACTTAATTGAGACAGCATCACTGCAAGCTGCGGTAAACTTGGGGGGGGGGTGACTAGAAATATGATAAATGGTGAGCGGGCCTTGCAGGCGCGAGATACTTTTATGGGGACACTGTCCTCTTGTGACCCGGACCTCACGGTACGCTTATTCGTTACATTAGGCTTCCCTAGATTGAAATTCGAGGTTGTATTGTGTGTGTCAATGAAAACTGTTGGAGTATGTTCGTTGTTTTTTAAATCGACTCGATCTAAAACCTCCCGAAAACTGTTCAAATAATAGCCTACCTCTCAAACCCGATTATTTTGAGCATAGATCTAGGAAGGAGGAACATAGTAAAGCCTTGTATACTTAAGCCTTATTTTAGCCCTTTCTTGGACTGTGATGTGGTAGATAGTCAGTGTCCAATTTAGAGTTAATCGTATGCATTGAAGAATATGAACCTCTTTTCATCTGGACGAATACAAATTATTCCGCTTTCCTGTTTAAAAATTCAGTCTGTAACCGTTAGCTGCATGTGAAGCGGACTTGTCATTATGCGCGCATTATTGCATCACAAAAATGCAGGATTGACATGAAAAATAAAGTTAGGAGATGACATACATATACAGCTATTCGTCTCTTATCGCCAAGCCGTCATGCACAGAGACCTCAAATAGTACATACTGATAACCATTGAGGTCAGATGCCGCTTTTGCACCAAGAACGATGACCCCATGTACAGTACATGTACATGTAGGCCTACAGCGTGGTCATTTTGGAAGGAGGAAATTAAAGGAAATATCTGTTTAAACATATTTTAA